CATTGATTTATGGATGCGTTCTCTTAGTGGTTTCACCAGTGAATTATTCACTTGTATGGGAGATCTATGTCCAAACAGAGCAAAAATTTATAAACCAAAGTAGTTTTCCAAGTCTAGCTTTTATTCCTCCCCTACCCAAAAGCAGTTATAGAATAAAAGACAACTGAATCTAATTGTTTATAACACTATATAAAAATACCAGTATCCCCATCCTGACACTTCTCAATATTAATAATTTGCTTAATTACTCCAGTCACGAGATACTGGAGCTCCCACCATATGTAAGGAAAGCACCGTATAACAACATGATGTGGAGTGCAGAAAGTTCATGCATTCGCTGGCCCTGAATTCAGGCATCATGAAGTCTATGTAAAAATAATAAGATAGCTACTTAACTAAAATTCAAAATAAAAAAAGGACAAGTGCCATAGCAGAGGAATGCAAAGGAGAAAACCATAGTTTCTAAATAGAAACGTTAGAGAAGGCGCAACAGACAAGGCGACAGGGAAGTTCTGGAGCCTGACAAATGTGGATCCCTCAATGAACTCCTTTTTTGTCTCCAGAGCCAGAGTCATAACCCCGCTGACTCAAAAGACCATTATATAAGAATAAAGGACAGTCTATTCTAAGAAACACTAGTTTATAACCTTACATTGATGTATATTCCTATACCACATTGTCCTTAATTTTATCATTTCAATGAAGACCATTAAGAATCTACTTTACCATTGACAGGTACCATTGACAGGTACCTGTCTGCACAATGGCAATCAGAAGTGCCAAAGTAACTGTAAACAATTAAAATGTGTTTTGTCATGTGATTCAATACAGAAAAATAGCTCTCTAAAATGGATGTGGGGATTAATTTTGGTTTAAAAATATTCTATTAACACAAAATAACTTTCTCTAAGAAAATGGAAGAATTAAATGAGAGAATATTTAAATCATTCATATTTGTACCTAAAAAGTAAACTTTGTTGAACAGAAGGTAATAGTGGAAAAAACACAAAGATTTATTTTCTTTATGCTCATTTCTGGGATTCCAGCACAGGGTGTAAGTAAATCATTGATAAGATAAATTTCCACTGTTAGGAAACTGGGGCATTGTAGAATGTGAAAGAATTATATTATGCCCAGATATAAAAGAATAAACATGGGGAGATGGATAAGAAAGCAAGATTTAAAGGAATTACAGGATAAAACTGAATTATAGATCATTAACCTTTTTCTGTAAAGAGAAAAGACAATGAGGCACAGGAGAGAGACTGTGCAAAGCAATCATGCATGGATGTGTACGAACGATTTCAGAGTAAAATTAGATTTCTAAAAAGCAGCTCAGGCAGCAAATAAGAAAGATCAAATGGTAGGAAGACTTTGTAAAAATTCTCCACAATGTACTAAATACAATTTAAATGTTCTAAAATTTTTTATGTTTCTATAAATGAATGCTCGTTAATTAAAAATATCATCAAGCTACTCAATTTTGGCCAAATTGTTGTTAAAACTGGACAATATCAGTGGCCTGCATGGAATACCAATGTTAATTTAGTATTTTTCTTCATAATATGAGAAAGAACCAGCAAATGTCAATTCCAATGGAAGCTTGGTGTTATACTCTCTCCTTTTCTCAGGCAGAAGAGCACAGTCCTTGGAGTAGAGACCTTAGGCTTTACAGTAAGATACATTTGCTGCTTGCTAACCTAGGTCTCTTAGGCACATTACTAAATATCTCTCTAAACCACTGATTCTAAACCACCTAAAAAGTGAGGATACTATCGCCCTGGCCAGTGTGGTTCAGTTGGCTGGAGCATGGTCCTGTAACCAAAGGGTTGCTGGTCCAACTTTTGGTAGGGGCACATATCTAGGTTGTGGGTTCAAGCCCTGGTCTGGGGTGCGTACAGAAGGCAACCAATTGATGTTTCTCTCTTTCACTTCTTCTCTGTCAAAAGCTCTGCTTTGTTTTTGGTGGGAGCACTGGCTGCTTCTTCATCCAAAAGAGCTAGTAGAACTTTCACGGTATCTCTGCCACAGTATGCAGTGCCATGATTTATGGCATAAGATTTTGGCTAGAACAAAAAATAATTCTAAGTAAATGTTATAATCGCCCCAGCTGGGTCGATCAGCCACTCTTTTCCATTTCATGTGCCACTGTTCTCCTTCCTCCTCTGTTGTTTAAAAAAAGATCAGCCATGAGAAGTGGCTTTCAGGTATGTGAGTATTTCTCACTCCAGCCATACTAAAATCAATCTTATCAAAACTTCCAGAAACACAAAAGAATATAAAACATAGCATCATAAAACAGGAAGACATTAGGTTCTGGTCAAAATAACGGTAGGCTTTAAGTCAGAAAATCTAGCTACTTCCTAGCTATGTGACCTCAGCCTCACCACTTAACTCTCTGAGTATTTTCTCTCTCTTACACCAAAGAGACATGGGATTCTGGTGATCTAACTACCAGCCCCACAGATGTCTGTGAAGATCTACTCAAATGCAAAAATGAAAAACTAGTTGATATTCATTCATTCAGTAATCACTGATAACTACATACTAAGTCCAAAGCACTGCATTTGAAGCTAAGACTACCAAGGTAAAAACCACTGCCACAAAGAACCAATAGTCTCCTTGATAAAACAAGTAAGTAAGCAATAATTGCATTGCACAGACTCAGTGCTATTTCTAACGTAATGTATACATGGTGCAGTGGGAGCTCACAAAAGGCAGTGATCAATTTACCCTGGAGTCAAGGATGGCTTCATGGAGGAGGGGAGACACACACGAGTAGGAGACAGCAAGGCACTTTCAGGGACCAGCTATATGATATGGCCAAAGAACAGGTTAACAGAGAGGGAGTTATGTGAAATGAGCCTGGGAAAGCTTTGTATATCAGGCAGAGGTTAGAAGTCAGTCTGTCACAGAGTTAAAAATCTCTTGGTTTATTAAGCAAGGAAATAAAACAATACTATTTAGATTTTAGAAAAATGATGTGTAAAATATATTCCAAGGTAAGAATGTTATAAATCTGAAGACAGAATGACAAATTAAGAGACTGTAACAGTCCAGATTAGAACTGAAGAAGATAGTAGCAGTAAAGATTAGGAAAAAACAGACTAAAAGAGGAGACCAGGAAAAACTTAGTGACTAGATAGACAAATAAGCAAAAATATATGATAATAAAAATATATAGAGATACATGTAAGCACAAACTCTGAAGACATTTTGGCCTAATTTTGATATCAACTTACCAGTTATATGTGCTGTATAAATCTGGGAAAGTTGCTTAACCTCAATGTGCTTCACTTAAATCCTGGTACTATAGGGGTAATTATAATGCCTAACCAATAGGGTTGTTGGACATTGTGCCTAGGAATCAAAGTTGCCTTATCTGGGACATTCCTCAGCTTTCACCTACATGGTCTTGGACTCCTGTCCCTACTTAGCTAACTGAGGCTCAGGCCACCAGCGAACAATAACATATACCTACAATGGAATTTTAGCCGATTAACTATCACAAGCCAGTCCTTAACATATGTTTTTCATTAGTACCAGGTAAGTCCCTATTGTTTAATACTAACTTTACTGAGAACTATTGAATTACTATGCAGCAGAAAGAAAGAAGGAATTCCTATACTTCGAGACAGCATGGATGGAAATGGAGAGCATTATGCTGAGTGAAATAAGCCAGGTGGTGAAAGACAAATACCATACGATCTCACCTATAAGTGGAACCTAATCAACAAAACAAACAAATGAGCAAAGTAGAACAAGAGACATGTAATAAAGAACAAACCGACAGTGACCAGAAGGGGAGGGGGAGGGGGATAATGGGGAAAGAAAGAGAAGGGCAAACAAAAAAACAGGAATGGAGGGGACTCATGGACATGGACAGTTGGGGGGGACTGACTGTGGGAGTGGGGGAGACGGGGCAGGGGAGAGCAATGGGGGAAAAGGCAGGGCAACTGTAACTGAAAAACAATAAAAAAGAAAAGAGCCAGGTTGTTTGCACTTTTATTTCTGTGACTGGAAATGGAAGAGACTGATGCTCTTAGTTACCCGAGTTGTGAAAATTCCTTATTTATACTGAGAGTAATAACCTGGTTGTCCCTTGAGCCAAGTTAGTCACAGGAAGTGTTAATACACATGGGATATATGGGGAACAACCCAGAATCTCCACCATCGAATTAATCTAAAAACATGCATTATTCTTGAAAAATATCTAAAAATAGTCCCCAAGGAGTATGAGTAAATAAGTAATAAAAATTAAGCAAATCTTTCATCATACACTGGCTGTCACAACCACATCTAATGAAAAAGGGCTTTTGTTAACCTGCAACAAGTGGATTTTAACACATACTCCAAAACTGTGCTCTAGAGCTAAAAACACGGCAGTCAACTTTTCCTATAAGAGTATAATGTTCAAAAATCTATGTAAAAATAAAAGAGAGGTAAATGTTCAGAAAATATATAGTTAGAAGATTTCTAAATATAGGGGAAGTTCCTGTGTTCACAGTAGGCTGACAATGGAGGCAGAAAATAAGAAATCACGAAGATGGAAAAATTCTCTAAAAGAAAAATAAACTGCTTAGGAAAAACCATTCCTGTTGCTGCTATAGAGTGCCTAGCACTGAGGTCGAACCAGAGAAAACAAGTTCTTATTTTACATCTGAGTAAATGGGAAAATGTTTCATAAGAATAACTACTGAAAAATATGACAAAACACCTTAGTATCCATCTAAAATTATAAATTTCTAGTGATCCAAGGGATACCAAAGAGTATCCTATGTCCTACTTTAACAAATACCAACAATTTTGTCCAAAGATGTTATGATTTACCCAAGTTGAACATAATCCTACATAATCCTATTGAGAAACTTGAATTTTCAATAACATAATACAGGAAACACATTCTTCTGACTTAAATAGCAATAGCAAACCATTTCTACAACAAATAGAAGAGAAAATATTTTATATAAAAGGATAATAAGAAATAAGAAGGTCATTACCCGTGCGGGACTGATGTCAGTGGTGCTAACAGCTACATCTCCTTGTTGAGAATTGGTAATATTCTTAATCCTCAAATCCAAATCCTGAGCAACTTCCTCCACTGCGTTATGAAAAGGATCCCTGCTGTTCTGGCCTTTAGTCAGCTGCATCTTTATCACAGAAAGTATCCGACCCCCCGCAATGCTGAGAATAGAAATAAGATTGCCTTTATAATGGTATTAGAAATGACAATATGCTCATGAACTTGAAAACACAATTCTCAGAGTTAATCACTTTTCAAAGGATATGGCTTTGATCTTGAAAATCAAATAGTAACACATTTAAGAAAAGTATGAGAACCATTAGAAGCAAAATTAAAAAGTTTTTCTAAAAGCCAGTCATTTCAGCCAGGTAAGTTACTTTTTCCTTGACTTGAAAGCTAAAGGGAAACAATTCAGTTACACATGAAAACAGATTCAGGTGCAGTTATATGCATACAGTATACTTAAAACATGTACCTTTAGATACGACTAAGATAACAAAAGCTACCTCTCAATGAATACCTAGAATCCTAGATCGCTTTAATCTTAAAGCCAATTCTGTATTATTACCCTTAAATCACAGATGAGACAACTGGGTCTTAAAATGGTTAAGTAGCTTATCTAAGAGTACACGCTGCTCTGGGCTGGGGAAAGGGTGGTGAGGAAGGAGGCTGATCTGAAACACACGATATTGCACTATAATATGAGAAGAGTTATTATATGAAAGAGGAAAGGAAGCTAGTTAGTACTGATCTAAGGCAAACCAGAGACTGGACCAACTATGACCAATAGAGATGTATTTTTAAAAACCTAGACTCAATTGTTTCTTTATACTGAGCCTGAACCTGAGTGAATTTGGGATACAGTTCCTGCTCTAGAAAGCACACCTAAAACCAATGTAAGAACATATAGAGGGGAGGATTTTGGTCCTTTACAAGAAATTAGAGGTGTGCAACAATAGAAGGGGGCTTTTTTGAGGTCAGATCTCCATCACTAGTGGAAAGGCTGCACTGCGCCAAATGAGAAGGGGCATGGTCTGAGTACGGAGTCAGGCTGCCTGGGCAAAAATCACAGCTCCTCCACTTTCTACACTGGGTGTGCTACTTAACCTCTCTGTGAATTTTATAGTGCCAGAAAGGAAATTATGAATTAAAGTTTTTATCCTCACGGCCCCACTGCCAGACTTTATGTTTTAGGGAACAAGCCAGGTTTCCTAACAATCATTGGAAATAGAATTGTTCACATTTAAATAGCTGGTCCAAGTAGAGAGAAAAAGTTAAAAGAAAAAGTGCAGAGAGACTTAATATATAACAGTGCATTAGACAATGTCTTTCAAATTTGCCTGATCATCAGAATCACACTCGGCATTAGCTTCAAAGATCAACGTGAGATCCCACCCTATTGAATCACAATCTCCAAAGGAGGACATTAAATAGTTGCATTGTTTTAAAAGTGCTACAGGTAATTCTTATGATTAGACAAGCTTGGGAAACATTTCAGGAAACAAATTAGCTCCTTGAGAAAGGACTATATTTAACTAGTCTTCATTTTACCAGTTTACACTTGGCACACAGAAATAATTGATATGTTTGTTGAGTAAATTGACCACTATCACACACAACAATCTTAAGTTTTTAATACTTAAGACAAAAGATATATATTTTACTATGATCTATAATATTATTATTATTTGCAATGAAAAAGCAAATAGTAGGGGGCATCCATTGGATACTAGGTACTCTAGGGGAACATATTACTAAGCTTGGCAGGTAATCCCATAAGGAGAAATCTCAAAGTACCACCCAATCTCTCCCCCCAAAAAGGAACAAACAAGAGCTGGAGTGGAAAGTTGGAAGCCTCGAGTGGGAAGCGGGATGAATGGGGTTTTCATGAGGACAAAAATCTCCAGTAGCACCACCATCAGGACACAAAGCCCTGGTTGACTTTCAAATTGCATCTGAACCTTCCAAGGGGAAGGAAGCATGTATGGCTTTTATTAGATTTACTCTATGTACTTTATAGTTTTGCTGCTTTTTAACATTTTCTATTTGTTTTTTATTTATTGACCTTGTGCCCAGCAACACCGATAAACCCTATTTTTAATTTCGATACTTTTTCTTTTGATTCTCAGAGTTTCCTATATATATATATATATAATCACATCATCAACAGTTAGAGTCGTACTTCCTCCTTTTCAATTGCTTTATCTCATATTTCTTTTCCTTGCCCTACTACAGTGAATTGGACATCTCATACTATGCTGAAAAGAAATGATGGGAGCACGAACTCTTGTTCTAAACCTTAAATTGAATGCTAAAGCATTTTACCATTTAAATAGGTTTTCCTAGAAATGCTTATTCAAGTTAAAACTCTTATTCCTGATTCATTTTACAGCAAGGGGGTGGCCTTGCAGGGTAGGTATGTCTTAACAGACTCCTCACCTCAGGCAGTCCTTGGGCTTTGTCATCTGTCCCCTCAGACTTTGCTGTCTATCAGAACAGACTCTCCAAATTACCAAATTCAGCAAATACTCTCAAAATAAAAGCTGGTTTCCCTTCTTAACTTCCCTTTCTGGATTTCTTCCTTCCCCTAATTTTTGTTTGTATTTTCATTGCTTTTGCCTGTTCATCAATGCATTTAAAAAGCATTTAAAAAATATCTTATCCAGCATTATTATTTTCAAAGGAAGGGGCAATCAGCCACCCTAGTTTGCCCAGTAGACTAGGCTCTGCCCATCCATGCTCAGTAGATGCTAAGAATTCTTGTATGTAGACAGGCACTTTCTTTTTCAGCTAGTTTTTAAATTTGCAATTAAAAGCATATTAAGTAACTGGATAAAATAGAGCCAAAATGAAAACACAATTAGCATTATGTGCTTTTTCTGGGAATTCATCTCTAATGGAAACATTTTGGAAAAGATTCAAAAGGATAATAAAATATGAAAGAGTGCCTTAGGCAATTACAAGAACCACCCGCCCCCCCAAAAAAGTCACCTTTGCCTCCCTTTTCTCAAATTTTATAGATAATATAATTCACTCGTTGTATTTTATTATTTATAAAATAATTTATAAGACTTTTACAATATTTAAGAGATTTTTCAATGTCAATATTTTGACCCCTGGCGAGATACCCCAAGCACCAGTATTATGACTAGTCTGCTGCTATACATTCACTGTGTACTAGCCAACCATTAACTCTTCAAATACCTGCTCGGTGACACAGTAGTTTAATTCAAAGACTTATTTGTAAGGCCTGGAAACCCCTGAAGTTTTAACACAAATGACACCAGGACATTTTTGCTAACCGCTAGAAATACAAAATGAATAAAACTTTCTCCTTAAAAGGTCACAATTCATCATATGATACAGTGAGATACTGAGGGAATGGAGGTAGAGTGGGGAGGGAAGAGAACAAGAAGGTATTCAGCAAGACTCCCCAGAAGATACATTATGGCTATGCTGGATAAACATTAATAGAAGGATTTAGGTGAGAAAGTACATTGTAGTTCCTGACTACTAAAAGGCTACTACATTAAAGCCCTGTAGCAGAAAGAAAAAACTGAGGCTAGTGAGGAAAACACAACTAAATCCCCAAGTCTGTATCAAATACACTGACTGAAAGACAAGAGTAAGCAACAATAAAGACAAATGGTTGGTAATACTTTAATGTAATTGCCAACGATCTTTACCATATGGAACAACCGGCGTTTCCTCACCATCTTTCATGAAGTTGATAACTACTTGTTAAAATAAGTTATATCTCACTGGCTGGTACAGCTCAGTGGACTGAGTGCCAGCCTGTGAACCAAAGGGTTGCCAGTTCAATTCCCAGTCATGGCACATGCCTGGGCTGCCAGCCAGGTCCCCAGTAGGATGTGCATGAGAAACAACCACACATTGATGTTTCTCTCCCTCTCATCCTCCTTCCTTTCCCCTGTCTAAAAAGAAATAAAGTTTTTACAAATTAAAGTAATTTATATCTCTAATAATTAACTATAATTAAAGTGTACAGTCATCCCTCGCTATATCTCACTTATTGCGGCTTCACTGTATTCCACAATACAGTGAGGCCACAATAAGTGAACCGTGATATAGTGAGGGACCACTGTATACTTCACTGGTGAGTACCCATATAGAATTTTATATGTTGTTAAAATTACATAGGTTTAAGAGTGTAGAAACTGTTTAAGAGCATATGAAGTGTTTACAAGAGTGTGGGAAAGGTTTATAGGAGTGTGGGAAGGGTTTATAAAGTCTTAAAATATATATAAATAATAAAATAAATATAATGCTACTACTTCATGAATTTTCACCTATCGCGGGGGTCTCTGGAACGTAACTCCTGTGATAGGTGAGGGATCACTCTATCAATGCTTCTGAATTATTTTTAAATGAGAAAAATGTAACATTACAATCCTGACTGGATAATTTCAACCAGATTCAATATTTTATAAATGCATAATATTTAGTCCAATATATACAATTCAGGTGTGTCCTTAAAGAGTTGTTGTGTAAGAAACTTGAAATACAGAACTGTAAACATCTGAACAACAGGGAACTATGTAACCTGTAACCCCCAGCCCCCAACCCATGAAAGTACAGTACGCATTTTATGGTGGCACCTACTGGCAAAGGGTAGAAATGCAGCCAAACAATAGCTAAGAGGGCCAACTGAAAATCTGGCAGTGGGGAGTTAAGTGTGAGAATGGATTCTTTGATTTCTTCCCTGTCACAGTCTATTGTCCATCGTTCTTTGGACTCAGAGATTATTGTGATTCCCTATCACCACCATCTTATCACAAGACAAGTAATACAAACTTATCCTCAGTTACAAGAGTTAAATACATTTTTAACTCCGTTTTTATTTTTTTAAAGATTTTATTTACTTATTTTTAGACAGGGGAAGGGAGGGAGAAAGAGAGGGATTGAAACATCAATGTATGGTTGCCTCTTGCATGTCCCCTACTGGGGACATGGCTCACAACCCAAGCATGTGCCCTAGACTGGGAATTGAACCGGCGACCCTTTGGTTCTCAGGCTGCCACTCAGTCCCTGAGCCTCTCCAGCCAGACATAACTCTTAAGTTTCAACATTGAGAGACAGGGGTTAGAGTGCTTAGAATTCGTGTACCATACTGAGATATCTGGAGTTTTATCCTTTACCTTATATGGACTCTTTAAAGGGTGTTACTCATGGGAGTAACCTTTGCTGTTTCAGAAAGATCACTGGCAGCAGTGAGGGCAACAGGGATAGGGCAACTCAAGATTGGAGGCGGAATGAACAACTCAGAAATAAGTGAAAAAAATCCAGGCAAGACGGAATGGAGATCAAGGCAGTGTAAAGAATGGAAATAAGATACTAATTACAAGAATAGAGAGCAGAAAGAATATAAAAAATGTTGAGTGAGAGGAATTGATGGCTCTTGGTGGCTGAGGGATAGAGAAAGAAGAAAGAAGAGTTTAAAACATGTTCCGGGTTTCTGCTTGGTTGACGGGAGGGAGAGAAGCTGCATCAAGCCAGACGGTGAAGCAGGTTTTCAAGAAAAAATGAAGATTTAACACGGGACATGTTCAGCCTGAGCTGCCTTTGAAGTAACAGTCTACAGGTAAAGATATAGTTTTGAAATTCAAGGAAGAGGTTTGAATTTCACTGAAATGTTGGTGTAGAACTGGCATATATGAAGTCAGAGAGGTAGGTGAAAAATAAAAGAATGGGATCTAAGAAGTTATGGGGGAGAGAGAAAAAATGAACAGATTTGAGGACTCAAAGGAGACTTCAGACTATGACAACTTGAAGATCAAAAGTGATCTTTGCAGAATTAACTTCAATAGAGTGGAAAAGTGTGAAACAGCTAAGCACGGACACGTTAATAAGTATTGAGTGTCTACTCTTTGCCAGAAACTGTGCTAGGGCTAGGGAATGTTAGTGAAGAAAACCGATAAAGCTCTCAGAGTTTACAGTTTAGTGACAAATGTAGAATAAACAATCAGGGATTGGGAAGTGGAATAAAGAGTGTTTTTCCAAAAATTTTAGCTATAGAAGGAAGGAGAAAGAACTGAGGAAGTTGATGGTTTGAGAAGATGGTTTGTTGTTTTTCCTCAAAATCTTTACAGTCTCTGGCTGAAGTATGAATAAAAGAGGAAGTTGAAACTATAAGACAAAATGAATGAACGATGAAACAATGTCCTAAATGGTTACCCACGTTGTGCCCACTTCTTCACTGTCTTCCTAGAACATAAAGTAGTTACCGACTATGGGCAGAGAGAATATTCAGAGTAACTGGCTGCTAAGTTACTGAAGAATTTAAGAATTTATAAGAAGACCTTAAGTCTCTCTCTCACCCTATATATCTCTAAAATGTACTTCCAGCCTTTCACACGAATGTACATTACAAATGAATTTCTACCTTGTTGATAACTTACCCCAAACAGAAATTCCTCCTTTTGGAATTATAACAAAATACATTGAATTGAATTCATGCAGTTGTATCTGCTCCCTCTCAAAACCCACTAAAGTGACAAAAAGGCAAGAAAGTTTTTAAATACATAAAGAAAAAGAAAACAGAAGAGACAATACGCAATGATAGCAGAGACACATCATGAAAGTCTGGAGAAATGAAAAGCAAATGGACAAGTGGTAACTGACTCCACAGAACAGAGGATGCTGAAAACTAAGTAAGTGCTGAAAGAAACACCAATAAGAAGCAAGCTCAGAAATTCTCAGAAATTGAAGGCAATATTGAAGACTATGGTAAAGGTGGAGTTGCAAATAAGAAAGTTAGTTCCAAGTCTATGTAACATGTAGACCCTAAGTCTCCTCTCCTCTTCTGACAGATCAGGCTGGTGCCCTTCTCTCGCCTCAGCATGAAAAGAAGGGGCACTCTGCAGAAACTACGCCAGAGAGGCTCCAGACCCAGAGGCATGAGAACCTGAAAACAGAGGGACTGAGGAAAAGTCTACATGCTAAACTGGAAGACTCAGCAACAACCTACCTGGAATACCAGAATGTTCCTAGCCAGACTTACAACTTTCAGAAAGAGACCAAAGGATACCTCCTCCATAGAAATTTTTGGGAAAGTCCCCAAAAAAAGATGTATAGTTACTGACCCTTGCTGAATCCCAAACAAAAAAGCCAAATGGTTACCCAGCTATAATGAAGTCCACTGCACGGAGCTGCTGAGCAGCTCTATAAGACCTCATTCTTAAATACGAAAGGACAGTCCAGGATTACCATACATTTTAGGAACTCCTTGAACATGAAAGAGGGCAAAACAAACAGAAACATTCAACTTAGATAAAAACAATGATCATCCAGGAAGCAAATAAAAATAATATTAAAAATTAAAGATAATAATCTTAGAGAGATAAATGAAACATGGTAAGATCAATGAAAGGTGAGAACAGAATAAAGGTATTTGCCATAAATGAACAAACAAAAGTGAAAGAGACTCAGAGATACAGAAAACAGACTGACAGTTGCCAGAGGGGAGGGGAGTTGGGGGCCTGGGTGAAAGAGATGAGGGGACTGAGAACTACAAACTGGTGGTCAGAAAACAATCACGGGAAAGTAAAGGGAATACAGTCAATGGTATTGTAATAACCACGTATAGTGCCAGGTGGGAACTTAACACATTGGGAAAACCACTTTGCAAAGTATATGATTGTCTAAACACTATGCTATACACCTGAAACTAAAATACTGAATGGAAACTGTAATTAAATTTTAAAAATTTATAAAATAGATGTATTTGTCTCCCACTTACTTCTTCTTATAAAGCTATTTGAGCAAACAGTTTACCAATTAAAGTCATGAGATCCAGAAAGCAAGGCAGAGGCAAAGAAAATTCACAAGGTGTTGAAGAAGCTTCACAGCTACCACTCTGAAACAGGCCTACCAAGCAAAGTACAGACTGAATGAATATGATTGAGGAAAAAATGTCTTCAAGGGCAAAAATCAGAACCAATAGATGACCTAATATTAAGAAGAAATTCTATAGTTTTGTTGATAAGCCTGATAAAGAATGGATGATAAAGTAGAGAAAAAAGTAGATAACTATAGCAAAATTAAAAGTAGATGAGAAAACAAAAATTTGGACAAAAAAGTAAAATCATTGAGCACAGGCTGCAAACCAAAGTGTCACAGGTTCAAGTCCCAGTCAGGGCACATGCCTGGGTTGCAGGCCACGGCCCCCAGCAACCGCACATTGATGTTTCTCTCTCTCTCTGTCTTTCTCCTTCCCTTCCCTCTCTAAAAATAAATAAAATAAACAAAATCTTTAAAAAAAAGTAAAATCATGGTATGTCACAAAGTTTAGCTATTGACATTAGCTATAGAATCATAATACAATAAACTTATGATTTAACCTGAAATTGTGGCATAACCAGGTTAGAAATATGAAGAAAGAGAAGTACTGTCTGTGTCCGGTGGGAAGGAGTGTTGGGAGGCTGGTTAAGTGGGTTGCAAATTCTCATCTTCCATGGGAGAAAGTTAATAGATAACATCTACGACTGAAAAAAAATCAAAACTAGCTGCATTAAAATTTCATTTAAATGAGGCAAATATAAAACAAACACACAAAAAAAGATTTGGACGTTTTTATTACAAGTCTGTAGTATCATCTGACTTTACCAAAATATATGTATATGGCTTTGCTAAAAACAAAATATTTTTAAAAGTTAATTCTGTGCCACCTCAGAAGTCATCAGCCAATATATTATCTGGGAGTTCAGAAGATGTCACTGATACTTCCTCGTGGTGGGTATCCATGTGAAAAAGGAAGAAGGATGCAGTTCAGAATAAAATCCTAAAAAAATTCTTCCTAGAATCTTGGAATGGAAAGAAGTTTCATGGACCAAGATGCAGTGATTAAGGGAATGGTTCCAGGGTCAGAACTGGTTGGCTTCAGATCCTAGCACTGCTACTTAATGACCATGTGACTAGGGTAAATTACTTAATCCCAGTGTATCTGACTCTAAATTGGGTACTCATATAGTATCTGTCATGTAAAGTTGTAATAACCGAATGATAATCCCCATAAAGAGCTTAGTATAATTTCTGACATAATATTCAATAAATACCAGCTATTTCTAAATTGACAGTGATATACTACAATACAATTGCTAGTATATACAACTCACCTCTGTGCCCCAAGTTAATCTAAAAATTACTAATCATCCAATATAGCTATACTATAAATGAACCTGTCAAATTATAAACACAATCTCTTAGTTCCACTGTTGCATAAACACAAATTTTGCATGAAGTAAAGATTTATGCATAAGAAAATGAAAAAAAAACTAGCAGAAAATAGAACAGAGAATTCATAATATCTTCAACAATTTTCTTATTCAATCTTTTTTTGAAAATTTTTTTGTATTTTTTTTCATTACCATTTATCCACCCTATACCCTCTGCCACCTATATGGGATTCCTTTATTGCTAAATTAAAAGCTGAAAGAAATGATCTATTAGGTCACTTCTAGTCCTAAAAAATCAATTTCTTCCAGATAAAGACAAATGGTAAACCCTTTTCTCTAAACAAATTTAATTTGAACATGTATTGTGACTTTGACAAAAATTCTGGAATCACAGCGAAGGAGAAATTTTGGGGGGAAAAGTCACATGATTACATTTCATTAATCTAGATATTTTTCTTCTCCCTACTGTTTGGTCTAATGATTGGTCATTTCAATAGCTCCTATATTCCTACCTTGATTCTGTGGAGTTTTAAAGAGAGAGTAGTAACACACATTTGTAATTTATGAAAAGTCTTTTACCTTGGATTTGGTATTTCTCCAAGAATCTCATCTAATTTGTCAATGAAATTAATAAAATTAGACAATCCTTTTACATGTGTCCTTAGAGGATCAGACGGTGATGGTGCATATCCTTTCCCTCCAAGTTCTATTGTTCTGATAAATGATGTGGCCACCTATGAATTGAAACAAATGATTTAGTTACGTTTAATGATTTAGTAAGTTAAAACTGTAATTTACTTTATGAAGCTGGGTACATTTATATAATTCTGGTTTCATACAAGTGAAGTGCTTTTGTGACTCAAAACACACTTTGACTGAGAAGCAAATAATCAAAGAAATAGGCACCGTGCAGAATTCATGCCAGCAAAGGTTAGGGGACAAATTAAGGGCATAGTATGTTCAAAGGAGTATATCACTGACTATAAAGAATTGGTTTATGAATATATTCTTATATAGATTTACTAGCTACCAGAATTGTTGCATGGAACCAAGGGGTTTTCAGTGCCAACTGTTTTGATTTATTCAAGGTTGGACAATTAATTCAACTCTTCCAAGCTGCAGCTTCTTTATATGTAAAATAAAGATTTAGACTAGATAATCACTAAGTCCCATCTGGTTTCACATCCTAAGATTACGGTATTTGATCGTGTGTAGTTCAAAAGGCCTTGCCTTGACAATGATAAAAATATACAAATGATGGTTATACATAAAAGTATCTCTGCCAAAGAAATGTTCTAAAGCAGTATTTTCCAAAGTGTATCCTTAGAAAGACAAATGCTATGAAATGTCAATAGCATTTGAAATTTCCCACAGTAAAATTACTTAGGAAACAACAGATTAAATAACAAGATCAACTTAAGCAGATATTTTTAGAGCAGGACTTCTCAAAGATGTTGATATACAAAATGAATTTATGTATATCTAATAAAGGTACATTCTATTTCCAAACATTTTGCTCTTGGAAACATTTATCCAAGAAGCATTTAACAGGGGCTTTTTGCCTTTGGCTAGCACTGTACAGAGTACATGCAGGAAAACACTCTGCAGAAATCCTCCCTCGCCAAATGTAAAGGATATGACAAAAAGTAAAAATACTATAGATTTTCAAATACGGAGGTAGGATATATATATATATATATATATAGTAAGAATTTAGAAGTTATTTTATCATAGTTACAAGAATTCTACATCGAGATACCTGGATCCAATGTTCAAAGAGTTTTTATTTAAAACATCTTAAAAATGTAGCACCTCCATACCAGAAACATAGACATCTGTTTCTCGCGCGCAGCATGCTTCAAATCGGTGAAGGCTTCCCTTCCCAGCCCTCTGTCAGGAACATTGAGAATATGGGCCAGAGCCAGGTCATTCTTGGAATTCACCAGCAGATTTAAATATGAGTAGATCATCTTCTTTGCTAGTAACTTCACCTACACAGTAAAATATTATTTTAATTGAAGTTCTAAATCTCTAATTTTTTTTATATGCAGTAAAAATATCGGTGATCATTCCATGACAATTATCTCACTCAGCTCTTTGGGAAAAAGAATTGCCAAATAAACTGAAAGTTTAGGTTGGACAATTAACATAGCCTTGCTCATAGAGCCAACCTGCTGCCATAAAAAGCTACGAGTAAATACTAATTATCATAATGGCTCTTAGAAAATTAAATAAAAGATATAGTCCAAAGTCTGCCTGCAGTTCCGATGAGGCCTGATCTCATTCCCCTGCATACATTTGCCCACTAAATAACAGCCAATTATGAAGTTCCCTGCAGCCTAAGGCATGGATCCATGGGCACCATTGGGTCCCTATGTCCCTTACAGGGCTAAAACTCCATGGTTAAGCTTTTGGAGAACTATCAAGACACTGATTTTGACAATACCAAATGACCAACTAAGTAATAAAATTAAAAGATTTAACCAAATGCCAAGCAAATAGTAACAAATAGTTGATGTTGATGTTAACTTGGCCAAAACAGAGCTATAGACCATTTAAGGACAAGATATGTAAGATCTGAGAGCACTTGATACGGGCATCGCTTCTTTCATATACATTGTACGTGTTCTTCACGGGCAAATGATAAAACAGGACAGAAAGACAGTGAAACAGCAATAAAAAAGTACAAATCTTTAAGAAGTCTCTTAGATGATTATTAAGGACATCTCAAGTTCATATACATCTTAAAGTACTTTTAAAGATAATACCCTTTTGAATTATTTACATTTTATGTGAAAAACAATTATGAGAGAAAGTCAGGTCCAATTTTAAAAAACCTCATTAGACAGAACAAGGTTACCTGAAATGAAGACTTAAAATATAATTTAAGCAAAGATTAAAAGAAATCTAAATACTAACTCAAGCTTTTTTCTTAAATATTAAAGACATTAGCATTTATTACCTTTGCAGAGAGGCTCCCTAATTTCCTTACATAAAGTAGACAGCCATTCACCCTGTTATACCTCTGCACGTGAGTCAGTTATATAGTTCTCTGCACAGATAGTGACACTTTCTGATACTTCACTTATTTTCTTCATATTTCTATTACTATATGAGTTCCTTGAGAGCAAATGATGTAACCTTAGGGCATAAAAGAATGATTGGCATGATCTTAGGAAATCAATCTGCTTTGTTAATAGGTTCTCAATCAGTTTCCATTCAATGATAAATGAAAGGAAAATTAATACATGTATCTGGCCCTTTTGGATATTTCAGAATTGAAGCTATGGATATAAAACTTACGTGGGATCAAATAAGTGGTGATATATTTTTATTACATTGCCTTGAAAAGTGTTCTATGGTACAATTAGATGAAAATCATCTTTAAGGTGTCTTAAACTTTTATAAACTAAAGATATAACATAGTTTTCTACTTATATTTCTAATGTCCTTTTATCTTTCACAGTAAATCACAATACTTCATGGGAATCTATAGTACAAAAATTTCCATTTTACTTCACAGTGCAACAGTACCCTTTGACAGTGGGAAAAGTAACACAATTTGCCACAAATCAAGACAGAGAAACAGTGATATTCACACTGCACTCAGAAACTTTTTTCCTTTTCCTACATTTAATTTCATAAAACTACCTTTAGTTTCACTGTCACAAAACAATTAGGATTTACCAGTACACGTATATCAGGATCCTTAGTGGGTACAAAACCAGGTCTTAAACTCCCACATCTACAACTTGCTCTTCAAGGCTAGCAAATTTTGTCCTTCTGATGCTGGGCAAACATTAGGGAAAAACAGCCTGGAGTCCTCACAGTCAGAGTGTTTCTTTTAACTCATGGCTGTAATTAGAAATCTGGCCCTATCATTATGGTCAGATAACTGGCAGTTATGGTTTCCCTGCTCTTGTATTTGCAAGAGGGTTTTAAAGAGGTTCTCTGGAAAGGCATTCCACATAAATACAGTTATGATGTCCAGAAGCAAGGGTCTAAATTGAAAAAATCCACAAGATTGAAGCTTTCACCAGGATACCGAAAATAAAGATACTCTTCTGTTTATTTGTTTAATAAACTGATTCCATCCATACCACAAAGTATTTGCAATGTTTGTTTAGAAGGTGAACAATTTCAAGCTTTCTGAAAATTCCAAGTTTCTTTTCCTATCCCTCAATTATTACTGAAGTGCAGATATTCAGTCTCATGGTGACAGTTTTTCTAAATTAAGAAGATTAACAATTTATACAGGTATTTTTTACTTTTGTTGCCAACGCATAAATTATTACATATAATGACCAAAAAAAAAAAATGGGACTAGAGCTAAAATACTAGTAAAATTTTTTATTTAATTGCTGATTTCTTTGGGGGCCTTTATTGGGGCCTCTTTTGGGGCTTTTTTTCCCCTTCATTACTTCAGAATTTCTAAAACAATAGTTTAGTACCTTAAGACAAATAAAATGAAGTAAAATAAAAGAAGGAAACAAAAACGTTGTTTCTCAAATTCGTGCCATTCATCCACTGGAGGACTCTTGTGTGGCATTAGTAAGCACATTTGGTGATAAAAATAAATCGTTGCAAGACTGCAGCCCAAAAAGTTACTTTGGAATTTTAAAAGAAATATATCGCCTTCCAAAAATACTTTGTAAAAGGAAAAATTAGAAGTCTGCAAGTACAGGAAAATGGCTTAGAGGATGACCGCTACTTTAATAGCCCTCATAAAATCTAATCCATCAGCTAACTAGTAGATAAAATACTCCTAGAAAATAAACCCAAGTAGGCAAAGGATAAAAGCAGAGGATTAACACAATGAAACTATCATTGCTTTCTAAATGAGAAAACTATATACTTATAACAAAGACCCGTCAGTTTCTCTAAACTAGAACCCCTTTCACAGGTGTATCTGTGAAATAATGTTTTATATCTGTAAGCCGCAACTCTAGAAGTTTAGGTCATTTTACATGTACAAATTAGTTCATTACTCTTAATTAAAAGTCAAAATAACAATTATCGTTTCCTCCCTGTAGAGCTTGTAAGATAGATCAAAAAGAATAGATTAGTAAACTATCTACCCTCTGGATGTATAAATGTACTCCATTACTGCTGCTGAGAAGAAACCAGGTAAGATTGCACCGTTTTGTCAATATTTGGAGCAAGAGAAAAAAAAAGGCAGAATTTAAATGAAAAATTAATTTCAAGCAAGAGAAAATAGGATTTGGGATATTTTATTGTACCAAAAAGGGAGAAGTGCTCAACATATAACAGGGCATGTAAAAAAGATACAGAAGGCAGCTTGAAGGGGATCCTTCTATTTTAGCAACAAAGATTAATGACTGTAATTAATTTTAAAACTCTAAGTAAATAAAGCTCCATGAGTCCTTAGCAATATATACACACATAAAAAAAAAGGAAAAAGATACATAGAAAAAATATCTAATTTGCTTCCTGTAACTGGTAATTAAAGAGAAAGAATTAAGGAGTGATCCTGCCATTTTTAGGGAACTGTACTGCATCCCAGTTGATAAAATAAAGCTCTTCTTTACTGAGAAGTGGCAGCTAATTAATGAGAAGACAGGACATAGTTAGAAACTTGCCATTCTGCAAACTCTAAAGAAATTACTGATTCAGACCAGCATGATCAATGAATACAGGCTTAAAACCATTTGACGAGAGGTGGTTGGGACACAGGACGTTCCACAGTGTCAGAGTGTCACCCCACAGGTCTTTGCTGACAGCAAAGGGAGAACCACTTCATCATACTGGGAAGACCATATGATTCAAGGAAACTTGAGTTTGTGTCTCCTGATACGGCACAAAATGAGATACTCGGCATCAGTTATGAAGTATTTGTTAAGAAATGTTAGACCTTAATCTAAACAAGCTTTCAGATGTAACTCTGGGTTTATTGGAAATAGAGAAACAAGTTAAATAATATCAGTAGGAATTAATCAGATGAATAAAACATTAAAAAAAGACTGAGGAGAATTCTTCTAGAGGAAGAATCTAAAAAAATATCAAACCACTTGGGGAACAAATGGGAAAATGTGAATAGGGAAGAAAGCAAACGACTTCAGGGAATACTTAAGTTTTCTTATATATGATGATGATACTGTGGTTATGCCCGCATTTTTAGGAAATGATATGCTGAAGAGATTTTTAGCACAGCACCTGTTAGTACAGATTAAGTGTGATAATATCAGCAATTTAACTTTCATACAGAACAGAAAAAATGTCAGATGCAGATATAAAGTGAATTTCTAAGTCTAGGATGTAGGTATACAGGTATCTAATTTGAGGGCAGTGATAAAATATATTTTTAAAAGTGTTATCTGTGTCGCATGGGACTTATGAGAGAATCTGTTTAACAGTGTTTCTTGAAAAATAAAGAAGGTGATTCATCAAATGTGTTAACTTACTAGAGCAATCAGATTTGGAAGTAGGCATATTCTAAGCCTTTAATATACTGTATTTTTAGAAATACTGAATGTAATTTTACGCTTTTTCCAATACTCGTGAACTCTCATCTTGTCAATGATTTTACCAACCACAGAAACTTCCATAAACATAACTCCCATGGTTAGTGAGGGGTTACTATATTTAATTTGGCACCTACCTTTACCAGCTGAAGGTAAACTGTATTAGAGCAAATCTACACTTGGCACTAGTTTTCTGTGGTGTGCTGTCGCCCCAAACCCTGTTATCAGAACTCATGATTCCTCAGTTATTCTACTACAAAGGCTACAGAACAGGTTTTCCAGCTGCACACATCTTCTTTAGAGGCAACCATATAAAACAGGAACTGTGAAGTTTACCAAATACAGGCAGCCCTCTGAATCCATGGGCTCTGCAACTGTGGATTCAACCAACCACAGATCGAAAATATTGGAAACAAACAAAAAAAGGTTACGCCGTTGCTGATGTGTACTATGTAGTTAGGCCTATGATGACTGTATCTGTACTGGATATATATGTGTGTATATATATATGGATTTTTTTCTTGTCGTTGTTCCCTGAACAACATAGTATAACAAATATTTACATAGTATTTACATTGTATTAGGGGTTACAAGTTATCTAGAGATATTTAAAGTATACAAGAGGATGTCTATAGGTTATTTGCAAATACTACGTACATTATTTTATATAAGGGACTTAAGCATCTGTGGATTTTCATGTCAGAGGGGGATCTTGGACCCAATCCCCCAGTTACCAAGGGACGTTATACAAAGATGCAAAGAACTCTGGACCTTCAACCACTTTTCTGATACTTAGGGTGATACCTCTTCTCGCACAGCACTGGTTAACCTGGCCCAAAACCATGAAGTAACTGATTGAAATGCTTTCACCAACCAGTCTTCAACGTATTATTCTTTGCTAACAGTTTTATTTAAACAAATGAAAAACTTCAAAAAATGTTAAAAATAGTAACTGTATGTACAAATTCATAGTCATTTGAAGGGGATCACATTGGGCTTTAATTTACTCACAATTTACCTTTTCATTGTCCTGACTGTGTTCACTCACTGGTGATGGTGCTACACAAAGATCAGTTTCATCCTCTGCTGCAGATTGTCTGCCAGACAGAAAGTCCCGTAGTTGACTCTAGGAAATAAAGGATATTTTACTAATAAAATGCTACGCCAACTATAAAAAATATTTCACATCTAGTTCCACTCAATATCACTGATATTCCAGTACACAGTGCATTACCTGACCTTTGCTGGCAGTCAATAATATGCAGGCATGGTCTTAAAATTCCCCCCCAAAATGCTTCAATTAATTCCTACTGGCACCTGTACTCATAGCATTTTACAAGTTTACAGTTAAAAGGTAACCTTGGAAATTTAATTTTAGCCTCTTTATTTTTTATGGAAGAAAAAGAGAATGAAATCTCTTGCCTGAGGCCCACAGTAAATGTTTCATTTTGGAATATATAAGTCAATCTGGTGTTCTAAGTGGTACACTAAGAAATAGTTTCCAAGAAAACATTTACAGAGATATTTGCCTTCACCCTGCCATACCACTCAACTTCTCCACGTCATTTCACTTATTCTACAGTACCTTGCGTACACACCCACACACACCATTCCTGATGAATAAGCCAGGAACAAAGGTACAAACCAAATTAACAAAGCTCAATGAGATTGCAAACCACTTTTCCTCTTACATATTGCAAAGTTATAACTAAAATAACTCACCAATACATATTTATTAAAAATAGTATTTGCCACAATGCTATTGATATAGTGAGCTAGCACTCATGAAGAGTTCATCGTAAAAGAAAAAAAGACTAGAAAGCCTACGAGGTTTTTTTTTATAATATATACAATGTTTAATCTCAAAATCCAAGATCATGAAAATATTAATTTATAATTTAACAAATTTTGAATAGATGTAGTCCTCATACTTGTGGTTCTGATGTTTTAAAAGGAGATGTTGAAAGCAAAGATTTATTTTTCTATGAACAAAAATACTGTGCTTTTAAATAGGAGAATATTACCTTTTGCTAAAAGCTGTTTTCATATCTAATAACATGTAAAGTCCATTATTCTAGATCAGTTCTGTGGGTCCAAACACGGTCCAAACTGAGGTCCCTAAGATCACCCAGGAACCCCTCACTTTCCCAGGTTTGTATAAACGTTAATCTCAAATTTCTCAATACACTTGAGTCAAAATGATATATCAAATAGAAGTAAAGATAAGAACCCAGCTATTTCCATCATACATGACATTAAAGATATTTGTAAAAATGTAAAAAAAAGTCACTGTTCTCACAATGTTTTCTTATTTTTGGAAAATACAGTTATTCTTCACACAATGTTCTTTATATTAACATTAGTGGGTTTATTATCAGCATTTTAAATAACTGATAAATATTTTAAATACATCTCAATTTTTAATCTTTAATATGGCAAATACCAATAGATATAACCTACATAAACAAAACCTCCTTATAGTTCTAAATAAGTTTTTAAGATTGTAAAAAGTTTCCTAGACTTAAAGATTTGACAAGGCCTCGATAATACACTGTAAAGCTTTCTGAGGTAAGCATAAAAATCGCAACATATGTGCTTGCTGTAATACACTATTAATTTTACTGATTTTGTACTTTTGCTGATTTGATAAGTTTCTATTCACTCTATTTTTATCCTATTAACTTAGAAAATGTACTATATAAATGAGTGGATCAAAAAACTATGGTACATTTACACAGTGGAATACTACACAGCAGAAAGAAAGAACTCCTACCCTTCGAGACAGCATGGATGGAACTGGACAGCATTATGCTGAGTGAAATAAGCCAGGCAGTGAAGGACAAATACCATATGATCTCACCTATAAGTGGAACCTGATCAACAAAACAAGCAAGCAAAATAGAACCAGAGACATGGAAATAAAGAACTGACAGTGACCAGAAAGGGGAAGTGGGACGGAGATAATGGGGGAAAGAAGGGGAAGGGTCAATTCATGAAACAGACATAAAGGACCCGAGGACAAGGACAATGGGGGGTGGGGGGAGGACTGAATGTGGGAGGCAGGAGGTGGGTAGGGCAGCGGAGAGTCATGGAGGAAAAATGGGGACAACTGTCATTGAACAAAAATTTTAAAAAAAATTTTTTTAAAGAAAACATACTATATTTTCCTATCCCATTAGTGGTTACCTTCACTTTCTCTGTGCTCAACTCAGACCCATATTTGTCTATTACTATTTTAAAAGAATAATGCCTGATACTTAACCCCAACTACAATGTTTAATAGTTTTACTTCGCAACCAAATATCAGAATCTCACTTACGGTAAGTCTTCCACTTTAGCACACACAAGCCAAGTCAATCCACATAATTTAACTACACACACGCATGCTCCAAGTTTTACTGTTCAACGACCATCTTCCCCTGGATATCTCTCTGTTCCAGTTCATCTGCTTAGTTACCATAGTCTTTGGAAAGATAAATTCTTCATGAGGTATGAAGATGACACTCTTTACATTTTTGCACATCCTCACAAATCCCTCCCTTAGCTTGACTAATAAATGATATGTTGAATGAAGATAAGATGTTTAGGCCACTGTCCTCTTCTTTCAGGACAGGCCATTGAATTGTTTGGTCTTTATTAAGTGGCTTGTTCTGTCAGGAAACTTACATTTCCCTTTATCCTTAAAAGTTCAGAAATTTTACGAAATTATGCCTAGGTACATGTCTTTTCACCGCCTGTAACTTCGTGAGTACTCGATCTGCTGATCGAGGGAAATATTTATTACAACAAATGTAGTTATAATAAAATATTATTTATTTAATCATGGCCTCTTGTGCATCTGTTCCTTTTTCTGCTTCTGGGACTCCTATCATTTGCATATTAAGTTCTCGAGATCTCACTCCAAGTTTCTTAACTTTCTCCTCATGATTTCTTTGTCTCTTCAGACTTTTTCCCCTTGTGCTTTAAATATTTACTGTATTTTTCCGTGTATAATGTGTACTTCTTACTCAAATTTTTGAGGAAAAAATAAGGATAGGCATTATACGAGTAGTACCTGAAATACCTTGTATCTGTTCTTGTGTTTCATAATTATTTGTTACACAAAGTTTCTTATAACACAATATGTTTAAAAATAAATGCTAAAACCCAAGCCCTGGCTGGCATAGCTCAGTGGATTGAGCGCAGGCTGTGAACCAAAGCATCGCAGGTTCGATTTTCCAGTCAGGGCACATGCCTGGGTTGCAGGCCACAGCCCCCAGCAACCGCACATTGATGTTTCTCTCTCTCTTTCTCCCTCCCTTCCCTCTCTAAAAATAAATAAATAACATCTTTAAAAAATTAATAAAAATAAATGATAAAACCCCTTTACAATACAAAAAACAAATATCTAAATATAAATAAATAAATGAAAGAATTAAAAAATTTACATGACTTTTTTCCCTGAAAGTTTGGGCCAAAAATGTGAGTGCACATTATACACAGGAGTGCATTATATGCAGCGAAATATGGTGTATTGTATTTGATGTTCAGAACACTAACTTGGATCTGAACTTATCTATTGCTTTGGGAAATTTTTTCTCTTCTTTCTTCCTAACATATAAAAAGTCTTACATTTAGGTGCATCCTTGAACTTCTTAGAATATTTATTATTTGTTGCTGACATTCTCCTCTAGCCACACCATTTTGTTGGGCATGTGTGTCCTCAGCTGACTCATCTTCCCTGGCTGCTGAAACTCCTGAAGCAGCTGTTGCTTTTTTCCACTGGCTCTTTGGGACTCACCTCTGACTGTTGAAGTACCTTAAGTGTATGACAGTTCTACAAGTAAAGCAAGTTGAAATAGTCCCCACTCCTTACAGAGCAGCAGTGGAGAAATAAACAGGCTGCCAGTCATCTGCTTAGGCCAAGAAAAAGCCCTCCTGTGGTCTCTGAAGCCTCACCAACAGTAAGCCCATCCACTCAGCTACTTGTGGGCTTCTTCAGAGTCTGGGAATCCTGGTACTTTCACAGAGGGCATTTGTTGACCTTCCCCAGGAAGTCCCCAGACCTCTGATGGCTGCCAGACTCTTCTTATGATCTACCATATGTGCCCAGGTCTTTGATGTTGTCCTCCAGTTAACTGCTCAGTTCACGAAAAAGCAAGCCCTTGCCTAGGCCTGAGACGGGCCCTGCATCCATGCCCCTCGGGAGAGGAGTTATCAAGTAAGGAAGTCTTTTGAAAGAGAAAGTGCATTGTTCGAATTATCATAGTCTCAGAGCTTCCGTATTTTACCGTTATCTTACTTCTTCATTAATTCCTGCCTTACTGAGGTTGCAATAAATAAGAAACAAAGAAATTTTATCAGGATTATGAAACTTCAGGACTCAAATTCAGCCTTGCTTGGGATTTTCTGATATGTATCTTTAAACTCTTTCAGCATAAATTTGGATTATATTTTGTGCATTTTTAAGAACTCAATATAGGGATTTTTTTTTTCTGCTCATTTTTCCCTCACTGGAAATTTTCCTAGAGCAAATATGAGTATCAGAGATCAAGTTATGAGTCTTACCGGTCTAAATACAGAAAATCGTCTACTTCGCATACTACCATCTTAGAGCTTTCCACCTCATTCCTGATGTTCTGCAGAGAAGACATGCTGATGTTGGGAGACACAGAACTCCCTCAAACGTAGACCCTTATGTATCTCATACTATAAGTTGGTTCACTTAAATGAAGACTTTCTAGAAGACTTAGGGGCAAAGGATAAGGTGAAAACAATGTGCTCAGAGGCCTCGGGCAGATTATACTCTCATGGCCTATCAAACCTTTGTTGGGCCTACAACCCAATACTTATGTTTGTATTAATTCTCTAAATTAACTATGTGAAAAGTAGTCAAAAATCATCTTTACAGGCAAGCAAATAAAATATTGCTAGGGAGGAATAAAAACGACTATCTTCACTCACAAATTCCTTACCGTACCATGGGTGTGCATGTGTGAGTATGTTTGTAAAAGGATGCATGTGTGTTTTGAGAAAGTTACAACAGGACAAAGGCTTCCATCATAGCTCAGTGAGGCAAAGACAGCCAACTACCCACCAGTATCCATTCTCCACCGGTTACTTAGTAACAGAGCTTTTGTTTTTATTTGGGCATATGATTATTCAGAATAACGACTACATTCTCCATCCCCCCCTAGCATTTTTATGTGGCCATATGATTAATCTCTGAGCAGTGAGATGGGAGGAAAAAAGCTATATCTCATTAAAAGGAGAGTGCTGTGCTTCCTGACCACTCCCTGCTGCAGGGAATGCTGATCTGATGCCTGGAGCTGTAACAGCTCCCTTGGACTAAAGACAGTCTTGAGAGTAGAGGTCAAGAAAGAAGATGGGAGAACAGAATAAGAAAACTCCTAGGTATCTGATAACCATGGAGCTATCATATCAGTCCTGGATGTTTACCATTAGGCATCTTTTATGAAAACGTGAAATAAACTTCCATTTTCTTAAACCATTGTTACTGTGGAGATTGCTACTGTAAGCAGCCAAAATACTATTCCCAAGTATCAGATAGAAATCTTTAGAAAATATTTAATATCTTAGAAAATACAGTAAACATTCTCTTTTAATTATAGCTAAAATTATTTAGTGATTGCCACTATTTAATTTACCACTATTTAATTACTACTTGATTGACACTCAGTAAATGGTAAGATATAGAAAAATATTTTCAACACTTGAAAACAAACTAAATATATCCAAATATATTCTAAGACAGTTTGGTAATTCTAATGTAGACAAAAGTGAAGTTAAGGATTGCTACTGCATTAATTTTAAAATTTATACTCCATAAAAATATAAGATAATGAGTATGTGTGTGTAAGAAAGGGAACAGTTATATTATCTCATCCTCACAAAATGATACCCCATCTCAGTAAAATAATATTATTAATCCCTAAAAAGTCATAGTAATCATTTTACAATCTATGCTAAATAAAGAGATGCACATTAAACCAAGAAAATAAAATGGAAAAGCTATCCTTAACATTATTCAAAAAGAAATCACGCTTGGGACTGATTTCTTTGTTAAAAATGTTCTTATCTCATAAAAAGCTATTCTTATATTTCAACCAAATACTAACAACACAAGTTCAACAAAACTTATCACCAAAACATTTCTTTCAAGTAGTTACTAGCTTTCAGGTAGCTAAGTTTTCCATTCTTAACATGACCCAAGAAGCAAAAGCATTATCAAGTTACTATAAATGCTAATACCAGAGTTAAAAATAAATCGTCAAATTTTAATTTGATTACAATAGAATTGTTTTAAAAAATACTTACAGCAGATATGTTGGCATTATTTTCACAATTAGAAGTCAAAACACTACACTTTTTATAAACATCGATCAGATCTAACATATTACTATTCTTTAAGAAACTATCATATGTCCTCCTAATGTCCTCATAATGGTCAATCACTTCCATAGTTCCAAATGGTAAGTTCAATTTCTCATGTAGCAAGTGTTTCCAGGTCAACAAGACATCGCTGAGAGAGACCGTAAATTCTCCACCGTGCTGAAAGAGATAATGCCAAAAATAAAAAGATAAAGTTGGATGCCAGGATATTGATGAACTTATATTTGAGATGTGAAGTATAAATTGGATTTTGTATTAAATTCTTGAGAATTTGAAAAGAACATCCAAGTTGAGCTATGGAATAATTTTAAAACCAGATATAAAAAAAAGAGTTTGAGGATTTTATAAAATTTGAACAACTATGGCAAGTATGCACGTGACAAAACTGGCAAATACATAGACATCATCTGTTACCTGAACGTCACTAAATTTCTCCTCCCCAAATCGGGGAGATGGATGGACGGCGAGCTGTACTTGAGTATTATTGATTGGGGAAACATTCAATTCTGTTCATCTTTAGCTCCTATTAGTTCTTTGAGCTGACGTATTTTAAATCGTATTCAAAAACTGTCAGTGCCATAGTGAATTCCCACATACCACACACACAGTTTCAAGTGTTAGTTTTCAAACATGATCATAAAATTTAAATTTTAAAAAAATTGTGTTTCATTTTGTTACTCTTCCATTTTGGAAAGCAAAATGCCAATGCTAAAAACCTTTGATCAAAGAATTTTTATTCTTCCCTGCTCAGGGACACACTACACTGCAGGCAAATGAGAGCTAAAAAGCCATAGTCAGGTTTCTTCCTATTAATATATGTTACCAAACAAAATTGTTCTTTTTTTTCTCTTCTTCAGTATCTACATGGTGGGGCGGGGGGGAGGGGGGGGACAGGTGGGCAGAGGAAGAGATTAAGCAAAAAAGAAAAAATAAGGAAAAACTCATGGATATGCACAACAGTGTGGTGACTACTGGGGGGCCGGGGGGGGGGGTGGGGACAGAGTGGAGAGTGGACGGAGGTAGAGGATGGCAATGGGGGGTCAATGATGATAAAAAATATATATCTACTTGTAAATTATTTTGAAGGTATTTTTAATTGATTACATTCTCATCCTACTTTATATCCCAAATATGAATAATTGTGTCCTCCACAAAATGTCAACCCCAATTCAGTAAAAAATTCTAACCGCTCCTCTCCCATGCTTCATGAATAACAAATGTTTTTAAGTATCCGTATGAGGTATAGTGAAATGTATCGATGTTGCTCTCTTCTACAGTTAAGCTCCATTAACGTACTAGTAGTTTCTGCTAACAGCTAGATCTTTCCATCAACTGCATTTAAAAATGGGTGTATATTTAAATAGAACTACAATTCACTGTAACTAAATAGTAACATCACATCTAGCCAGTGAAGAACAACAGAAAGAAATCAAATGGAACCATATAATGTAGCACTATTTCTACATATCTGACTCTTTCAAATATAAATCTTTATCTTTTATAAAGATCAGCCACATTTTCTAGTTACTATCCAAATTTAAGATAAAGTGTACAAACTGCCTTAAAATAATTGCTTCCCTCCTCATCCGTATGAAGCAACTATGAAAATTATCCTATTGTCCTTATTATCCTTAGAGTGGGGACCTGTTACATCATAGTTATAAAAATTAATTATATTTCACAAAACTAGCTCAGTGAACAACCAAAACAAAATCATTAACTCTCAAACCTTATATCCATAATCCAAACACAAGACAATTTGCAATTTCTCAGCATTGAATTAAAAACTGTCAGCCCTGGCTGGCATAGCTCAGTGGATTGAGCACAGGTTGCGAACCAAAGAGTCGCAGGTTCGATTCCCAGTCAGGGTACGTGCCTGGGTTGCAGGCCATGACCCCCAGCAACTGCACATTGATGTTTCTCTCTCTCTCTTTCTCCCTCCCTTCCCTCTCTAAAACTAAATAAATAAAATCTTAAAAAAAAAAACCCTGTATACTTTACTTCCTAGTCCCACGAAGGTTACATACTGTAATGGCATTTAAGTTAAATACATCCAGTTATTTAACATTTCAAAACTAAATTGTTTTATCTCAAAAACTCTTAAAACTATTTTGGTATAACACCCTTCACAGTAGAAATAAATTAAGATTTTTGCTTAATGTAAATGTATGCTTTATTCCCAATCTGTTGACTGTAACTAGTTAAATTATGCAAGTTCTTGATCTTGTGAGAAAAGGCTCTGACAAGATGAACAGTGTTTATACTTGGATTGTAAAAACATTTCAAATCCAAATAAAAATGTACTCCAGATATCAGTTTACATGATCAGGTGCCTTTCATGACGGCATATTCTATTATTTACACCAGTGACAACTGATTGAGAGAGAGTCTGTGGTCAAATCAGAAAATGTTTTGCTAGGAAAACATGCCAGCTGGCTAATATTTGAAGGAAGTTCAAAATGTTCAATGACTTAATTCTTTGATGGACATGAAAAGGTTTCTATTTCACAAGAGTAAAATGAGAAAAAGCAAGAGTTACATTTTTTTCAGAGACGTGAACTTTGTGTATTTTTATCAACGTTATTTTTATAAGGATTCAAAATTTTTAAAAAACTTTACATTTTTAACGAACTGGTATTTTTATTATCAAAAGAGAAAAGATAGCAAGTCTACTTAAGAGCATTAATTGGCTGTTTGAACTTGAGTAAGATACCGAAATCCCTCTGAGTCAGTTTCCTTGGTAATAAAATAAGATTCCACTGATTAAACACCACCTATAAATGGTAGATAATCAAAAATGTCAATTACCTTTCCCTTCTTATTCAAAGTAAAATAATTGTTAGTGTGTTTGCTGAGGGAGGAGTGGTATATAAATGTAATTTAATTTTAAAACCTGTTTCATTTTGTGTGTCTCTGTTAGGTCATTTTCAAATCTGATAGTCAACCACAGGTGCTGTGATTGCTTTCTATGAGGTTATAAAGTTAGTATCTTTGTTTTATCTAATGGAACATTTGTAATATTCTTAAGGCTTTTTAAGGTGAAAAATAGTCTTTATAATGTAATTGCCAGACAGAGTCAAAATATAAAGCCAATTCCAAAGAAAAGAAAGGCTAAAATATTATTTGCAACCTAATGAAGTCACATATATTTGCCATGTAATGAAGCTAATAGTGAATGACTCTGTAATAGGTTAAATCTTTAGCATTATAAAACTGTTAGAGAAGTGTTACATGACTTAAGCGAAAAAGTCTTCCTCCTCTGAAAACATGCCAAAAACCTAAAACTCAAAGATTATATTAATATACCTTTTTGTCTTCCCCACTAAACCAGTTAAGGAAACAAGCGTGCCAATAGACAGACTAACAATTCTACTAGGTATTCAAAAGTTTCACTGTAGTCAAATTCAGTTACAAGGCTATTTTTCAGTTACAAGGGCTATATTTTAGGGATTTGTGTTTTCAAACTAAGAGAATTCAAAACCTAACTAGACTGCAAACACAGTGGAAAATATAGGTACAGGATATAAACAACGACCTCCACCCTTTCATTTCTGCACGCTACTGAGGAATGCACCTGCAGGCGAGTGTGCATGTTGTTTCCCACTGCTGAGTGACGGGGAAGTAGGAGCATAGCTAGGAATGCCTAAGCTAAGTCTGTACACAGAGCGTTAAAATAAACCTAAACTGCAACCCCCATCTCCACCGCGCACATACACACACCTTTTCAAACTGTGAAAAACTCACTTGCAATTCACCACTCACCCTTTCCCACCCAGAGTCTGAAGTTTCACAATGAATAAAGTGAATTAGCAAGTAGAAAATTAACAAGCCGAAAGAAATTCTGAGTGAATGCTACATAGACAAGCCCTGAAGAAAAACTGACTTGGATTGAATATCTTAATATGTCAAAACTTTTACAGTTGAGAACTACAATTTTTTCAGGCTACATTCTATTCAGCTTATTGATCTATTTATTTTTAATTATTTATACACAAGTTAACAAACAAAAGGAAGTGATCTGAACATGCTCTGTTTGCTTCCAGAACAACAGCCCTAAGTCGCTAAACAATAGCGATTCTTAACAATTGCCTCAATCTCTCTCTCCTTATTTCCCAGTGTACAGTCGCCATGGTGTAAGCTTCAGCTAGCCCATTCCATGTATACGATATCCTCAGAATCTATTATCTACCTGAATGCCATTTCTGCAGATTATTAAAGGAGGACAGATTTTTTTCAAATGCTCAAGCAGTAATCCCGAGATTTACCTATGGATTGCACTGGGGGACAAAGGAAAGAGACCCTGTCATGACTGACCCTGAGGTGTCTAGCTTTAGTGACTGAGTGAACAATGATACATGCCACTGAGACTAAGAGTGTGAGGAGAAAGGTAAGTTGAGGGAGCAAACAGTGTGCTCTCCTTTTAAAAGTGATGAGACAGTAATAGAACATCAGAGTAAAATGTCCAATGATACTTGACCGTACCAAAGCAAGACTCAGCAGAGAGGTCTGGTATGTGAATACTGATGAAACAACATATGGGGTGTATATCCCGTGAAAGTGGGTAAAATGGAGCACACTGGAAGGTATTGACAAAGTATAAAACAAAGAGTATCTAAAATATAGGTAGACCTCTTCCAGAGTAAGAGACAAAAGCAACTCAATAGCAAAATAAGCAAAGGATATAACCGGAGAGCTTAAGATGAAGACACCTAAATGGTCAAATAAGCATTTTAAAAGATGTTTAAATGCTCTCGTTATCAGAAAAATTAAAATGAAGTACCACTTTTTCTCTTTTCTAATGAAGTCTGACAACACCTAATGTGGACACAGAGATTAAGGGAATGGTACTCTGCTACACTGTTAACATAAATGTAAGCTCTAGCAGCCAAGTTGAAGAGCCGTATGTTACAGTTCATATCTATCACGGGACCTGCTGGGCATGGGGCCTAGAGAGCCTCTGGCTCAGTGCACAGACATCTAATTTCGGTGCAGAAATGCTTGTAATACCAAAAACTTCAAACAGCCCAAATGTCCAAATATGAATAAATGTATCAGTCACACAAAGGATGACTAATAAAATGAATGAATTAGATAAACTGTTCTGTCAGTACCTGAAGAGGTCTTGAAAACAATGTTGGGTGATGGAAACAAGGTGCAGAAAGAATGCATGCCATCTGTTATCATTTTACAACAGACACATTACGTATGCGTCTGCATTTGCAGAGAAACCCCTCCTGGTATAAAATGCCTGAAACTATAGGAGAAAAAAGGAGAACAGTTTTTAAGCATGACTGCGTTGTCCATCAGAGAAATGGCAGAAGGTCAGGAACGATAAGAAGAGCCAATGTAGGGGAGTGAGCAAGTGGTGGAGTCTGCATTTCCCTTCAATCTACCTCTCCCTGACACTCAAGGAAACCTCGTGTTCAGGAATCCTGAGCACAAAGACCAGGAGACAAGCTGAGCACCAGAAAGGTGGGAAGCTGGGTCAGAGGCCCTCCCTGCCCACCCTGCCATGCATATAACACCAAAGTCCCCAAAGGCCAACACTCTCAGTATGCCCACTGGAAAAAAAAAAAAAATACCTGCCCAGCAGAAGGTGATGGTGGAAACACTTGCTTGTGAAGAGATTTTTCTGAAGTAGCTTCAGTAGTGTGCTTACTTCTCGGGGTAACTTCACTTCGATTTTTGCCCAATAGCTCATTCCTGCTGAGATAGCAGACAGTAGCCACCTATCTTGGCAGGAAAGTGGAGGTTTGTTTCCTGGAGTGGTGCAAGGATCCTCTGGACTGACGAGTGCAGAGGAATGCGCCCAAACGAAAACCCAGGAGCGACAGGACCGTTCACACTCTGAACTGTGACACGCCTTTCAGGCTCCCAACACAATGGCAGCTCAACTTTATACTATTTGTGCAGGAGAAAAAAAAGACTCTTTTCTGAGGAAACTGTTCCAGAAGGGGTATCCTAAAGACACTGACCTCAAAGCCCCCTAAACCAATTGCCCAGTCAGATCAGGTTGACAAGCCCTAACCTGTACCCAGCACTTCCAATAAGCCTCACTTAACATGAGGGGACAGCCCAGGATCATCGTGAAGAAAGTCTCTAATAGGAGGAAAGGAAATCTTTCCCAAATAAAACTAACAAAATGGGAATTTAGAGGAAACATATTACACACATACAAAAAACAACAAAATGTTATTAATAATCTCAAAGGAGAAAAATATTATATCTTGAAATAAGAGAAAGAAGAAAAAAAATGTGCTTGGAAATAAAGAGGATGATAGCAAAAATTGGAAGGAAGAAACCTGTGGAAGAGAGGAAGGGAGGGAAGAAATTACCATTGATATAAGCAGCTGTGATTGGCCTCCTTGCTGTCCCTTGAACGTGCGCAGCATCTGACCCTTGCACCTCAAGGCTCTTGCGCCTGCTGTGCCCTTTGCCTGGTAGCCCTTTCCCACCTAAATCCCCGTGGCCAGCTCCTCCTTCCACTTACTGAAATCTTTGCTCACATGGTAAGTTCTAGATGAATCCTTCTTTGAGCACCCTATTTCAAACTGTGAGAACTCCTCCATTGCAAACTCCATATTCTTTACTTGGATCTCTGTTTTGTTCTTCTCTGTAGCACTTACTATAACTTAAAGCATTAAATATCTTATTTATTAGAGTACTATCTATCAGTCTTGACTAGAAGATTAATTCCATGAGAGCAGGGATTTCCTTCAGTACTAAATCCCAAGTGCTTAGAATAATGTCATCTAGCACATAGTAAAAACTCAGTATTTGTTGAAAGAATGGCTACATAAGATACAAGTTTCTCCAAATTTTTCTATGTTCAAAACTTATCTTAATGTACACTGTTTTAAATATGCAAAACTGACGACTACCCATGCATAGGAAAGACTACCTCTTATTTTTAAGACCACACAATTCTTAATTTTTAGGTGTCAAAATAGTCTTCCTTTTTCAAAATGATGGTTCTAGTCATTAATTTTTCTCAATAGCCTTATCTGCCAACATGAGAAATGTTCAAATCTGTCAATGTCTAATTCTTTCAGAAATTTTACTGGCAGATGAAATCTAAAATTCTGGGAACTACTGACATAGAGGATTAAAATCATTCGTCAGAATGTCATTTCTGTCTAGCCTCAGAGACCCATGGAAACCAACTCAACCCTTCAAAACTCTTCTCTAGTCACGACAGTCTCCCTACCACCTTCAAACCATCGTTATTTTGATCCCCCGGGTGCTTCTTCTGAACTTTCCTCTTCCTTCAACCCTCCTTTAAACTCTTTCCATCCAAAGGCTACCATTCCTTTCAGGACACTGTCTAAAATTCCTGATGACACCAGCCTCCATTCACCCATCTCTCTCGTGAACACCTCTAGTCCTTTAGGTAGAGCTCATTTTAAACAGCAGTTTGGCCCAAACCGATGAGGTAAGAATCACTTTGGGGAAATTGAAAAAAAGACAATTTCCAGGGTCTCAGTGCAGATTAAGAGAATCAGAATTGCCAAGATTGGGGCACATAGGAGCCAAAATATTTAAAAAGCCCTCCCAAAAGATTCTGCTTCATAGCCTGGCTTAGGAACAATTAATTTATACTATAGCATCTTAAATTAGTCATAGAATACTTCAATTATATTTAAATAAACATTATCTATGTGTCTTCCAGATCTTTTTAGAGAAGGAAGTCTTATAACATAAAAACAACTTTTAGCCATAATAATCATAATAGTTGCATTGTTTATCTTAAGACTTCGAATTAAACATGAAATGGGTATGTTCTATGTGAAATTATACATACAAAGGCCTTAACTGTAAAACAAATCATCTCAAATCCAATAGTAATTAGTGACACAGACACACAGAAGCATTTGTGAAAACAGTATATTAATATTATCATAAGAGGGCATCTATTGCAAAGAAATTAATATAATAAAGTTTATTCAAAGAGGGAGCAGCCACAATCCACTTTCAAGAAAAAGCTAACCTCAGTGTAGCCTACTAACCTGTCTGCTGTTCTCTGCCATGCAGAGCTGCAGTGCCAAGAGCATGGCGTCTGCGCCGCACACAGTGGTTCTCTCCGAGTCACAAAGAGTGTGCCAGTTCCTCCTGAACTCCTTAATCATGGCCAAGACAGACCTCTGTTGAAGCGCAGCCATTGTCTTAGAGTAGAACAGAATGCAATGTTAGGAAGCCTCATTTTATTTTTTTTAAAAAAGGCTTATTTTAATTGAAAATTGATATTTAACCTGTGTAAGCAAGAAGAGTTAGAGAAAAGTAAGTAGTGAATAAGAAGTCATTTCTTATTTATTAAGACTGCTTTTAATTAAATTTAGGAAAACAGACTAAAACAATTTCTACCCACTTATATTTTCCTTTCCTTTAGTTTTCTTCAGCCAAATCTATTGAAATAACAAAATCCAACCTTCAATTTGAAAATTCACAGAACAGATACACCAATTCTGTAAACTTATAATTATAGACGCGCAGTTAATTAAAACTGTGTTTAAAAATATTTGTGCTGAGAGAGACGATAATATCTCGGGTAGGCAGATCTGGCTGGGCAGGGCAAGGGGAAGGCCAGCTTCCTCCCATTGTCACATTGTCCCAAAAGAGATGGTCTACTTTTCCACCGTTCGAATCTAGGTCAGACTTGTGACTTGATTTGACCAATAGAATGTAGTAAGAAGGGCATCATGGGAGTTCCGAGCCTACACCTCAAAAGACCAGTGCAGAGAATAGTTAATACAGCAGGCCTGGTTGCTATCCTTTGAAAAGCCTTTGGCTGGCATCTGGGAACTTAGATTTCAGGAGGGTTTCCAGTAAGGGTGGCTCACTGTGCCTAAACTGTTGGGACAAACAATATAGTTTATACTGAACACTTGCGTTCCTTCTGAGTTTGGAACTTTGGAACAAACAGAATGCCTACATGCTCAGCCTCAGTAAAAACCCTGGGCACTGAGTCAGTAAAGAATTTCCCTGATGGACATTTTACATATGCTGTCACAACTTACTGCTGGAGGAATTAAGCATGTCCTGTGTGACTTCACTAAGAGCACTTCCGGAAGCGTGTTCCTGGTCTCCCCTGGACTTCGCACCATGCACATTCTATCTTTGCTTATTTTCCTTAGTATCTTTTTTGCTATTATAAATTATAACCATGAGTACGAGTATATGCCAAGTCCTCTGAGTTCTCCTAGTAAAGCATCCAACCGGAAGGTGGTCTTGAGGGCCGTCTGACATAAAACCTTGAAGCTTCAGCTCTCACTCTCTTGCTACTCTCAGGCTGCCATATAAAGAAGTCCAAGCTAGCTTGCTGCAGAGGCCTTATGAAGGAGAACCAAGGTGCTCCAACTGACAACCAATACCAACTCACAGACATGTCAGAGAGGCTGTCTTAAGACTGTCTAGTCCCAATCAACCTGCCACACTAACTGTAGCCCCGAGTGATCCCAGGCAAGACCAGCAGACCTACACAGCTGAGTCCAGCTCAAACTGCTGATTCACAGAATCATAAGCAAATATGTTGTTTTAATGCCACCAAATTCTGGGGTGGTTTGTTACACAGCAATAGATAACCAACGCAAGAGCTAATGTGCAGGAATTTTCTTGGTGCCAAATACTTTTTAAAAGCTTAATATTTACAACCTCATTCAATCTTCATAAGAAACCTATGAAGAAAGTCTATTATTATCCTCATTTTACATCGGAAGAAAGTGATACCCATATCACATATATCACACACCTTCCTCTGATAAACAAAAGCCTTCCAAAATAATTAGATATTGTTTGAATGCTTTACATACCCAAGCCTCTATAAAGCAGCCAATTTGTTTCTCCAAGTTTACAGACACACCTGCCAAAAGTTTGTGGGGGGTTCTCCCCTCCCCCCTTTAAGTACCCCAGTCTCCAACATACAGGCCATTATCTTATTTTGAGTATTTTAGTGTACTCATCCCACTTACTTACTCCTTTGGTGATCTTCTTTTTTTTTATGTGGCATAAACCAAAAATCCCAGATGTGAAATATGTATCTTGGGTTTCTATGATCAAGAAAATGGGTATATGTCATTTACAAAATAACAACTGATAGGCACAATCAGTGATGCAACTTAAATGTACAGGTGTAAGACTAAATTAAAATATCTACATAAATACAAATCCTAGTAAATAGCTAAGAATTATAATCCTCTTAAAAATATCACCCTCATCTCTTAGAAGAAATAAAAAAGAAAGTAAAGAAGTAACGAACTAGTGATATGATCAGTTTGCCTGAAATAAATCTTTTGTAGTAAATTACTATTGCTAGTGTTACTTAAAGGTACTTAGTTCAGACTGCTAAGAATAAAGACCAATCTGGATTTAGACTGTCCTGAATCCTGGCTTTACCACTTACTAGCTGTGAGATCTTTGCCAAGTTACATCACCTCTCCCTGCCTCAGCTTCCTTGCACTGATAAGTTAAAATAATAACAGTTACTATCTCATGGGGTTTTGTAAAAAGTAAATGGCATAAATGTAAGTTAATCTTTTATGACAGTGCCTGGCACATATAAGAGCCAACAGTCCCATCCGGGGGTCAGCACACTTTTTGGAAAGGGCCAAACGGTAAATATTTGAGAAGTACACGCCCTATAGTTTCGGTTGCAATTACTCAACTTGACCTTGCAGTGTAAAAGTAGCCACTAACAGTACTTAAACAAATGATCTTCAACAAAACTTAATAAAAACTAAAATTTGAATTTCATATAATTTTCACACATCACAAAATACCATCCTTCTTTTGATTCTTTTTCAATCATTTAAACATGTAAAATTTATTCTTAACTTGGGAACTGGCTGCACAAAAGCAGGCACTGCCGTGCATTTGCCAACCCTAATCTAGTCTCAGCTCTGCAGTAGCTAGCTGGCTGTGTGAGCCTAGGCAATATGGTTTACACCGGAATGCCTAGGTAGAGACATCATCAAAAAGAAAACAGGAATAATACCTTTCAGCCAGTTAGGAGGAATCAGTAAGACAATGAATATACAAGCCCTCTGAATGTCAGGATACATTACACAAAAACAGTAGAAGGCGGCTGCGATAATAAACATTTGTTTTAAAAGACTGGATTCAAGCTGCACTGGAGCAAAATTTGTAAGACAGGAAACTGTCACTGGAGAAGCAGTGTGAGACGATCGAAAGAATTACACTTTGCAGTCAGACAGACCAGGATCCGCGTCCAGACTCTCCCACGTATTAAATGATCTTCTGTATTTAAAAATCTCTGATAAGCATATATTTCTTCATCTGTAAAATGGGAAGAATATCTCCTACCCATAAAATTGAGGCGGTGGGAAGACAAATAAATAATCCACCTTGTGCTGGGCACTTAGTAGGTGCTCAATAAAAAAAAAAAAAGTTGGTAGTCCTTGCTGCTATCATTGTCAGAATGCAGGTCCAAAATGTCCCTTAGAAGGATGTAATAGAGAGAGGGCGAAAGTAGCGGAACTGGTGTCCGCATAGGTTTTGGGACTAGAACCCAGACTTGTCGCCTAAGGACCCTAAGTAGTCCTCAAAGGACCTCAGCCTTCCAGCTCCACCCATTACTGGATACTGTCAATTCTGCTGAAAACAAGCAGACCCACCCTGGCTCCAGGGCAAAGCCACCGCACAAATACCTTAAACAGTCACTTGGCACTTTTCTGTCATCGAAAATCCCGCGGCTTGGATCACCACTTACCAGGTGGGTGAGGGAGAGTCAAGACTCACCCGTCTCGGGAGATTGGGGTGGTGGGGTGACCAGGGAGATGCAGACCCAACAGAAGGGAGATCCTCCTGAGCAGCAGTCTCTCCGCTGTTTGAGTAGTTGCGGGTTACATTTTAAATCTCGCGGGAGGTCCTGAGAGCCAATCGCTGCCCCTGCCCTCTGTCCCGGAAGCAGAATCCAAGCGAGTGGCAGTAGTCCCCAGCTGAGACCCGTTCCTCTCTGCCTGAATCCCGGCGCCCTCCGGTGCGTATCAGGGAGCTGAAGGGCCCGTGCCGCTTCGCTACAAACTGCCCAGCTCTTCACCCTACTTGCTCCGGACCTCGGGCTTGGGGAGGTGGTAGCGGGGTCTTCTCGGACCTGCCTGAGACAGGGAGAGGCGTTGGGTCTCTTAGCAGGAACTTCTCTTCTTCTTCCCCTCCCGTACTCTTCCAGCCCGCTTTGTACTGTGAGACCCCGATTATGTAGTGAGACTGGGCACTATTTTAATGAGCTCTAGGGGAACGAGTGTCTTAACCGCGAATTTTTTGCACTTCCCACACCGTTGTGCCCCTGAGGGCATCTCAGCTGCTGGTCACCTTAAGATAAATGTCCAGTCCCGGATGCACACTTGTAAGGTTACTAGTTTATTGGTGGGTGGGACTCATCTGATTCTCAGTAAATGCTCATCGGGTGTCTGATGTGTTTGTTACTGAGCCCAACTGTTTTCAGGACAACTCCTGCGTCCACTTAAAAAAAAGAGAAAGAGAGAGACCTCTAGAATCCCTAAGTCTCATCTGGGAATGCTACTTTCAGAGTGCACCCCAGGCCACGAGGGTTAGTTGAAGTTTTGTGCCTGGTTTTATGAATATTACTTTATATCACATATTTTGGCACTTCTTCCAGATCCTATAGTTTGTGTCTGCTTATATATAGCACTTTTCACACTGAACCATTAGTATCCCTGGACTGTGAGCTCCTTCAAGGCCAAGAGCTGCGTTTTTCTCTGGCACTGATGTCCAACACATAGTAATGTTTTCAAATTCTGGCTCGTCTTACGACCTCGGCAAGCTAATTAACATCCAAAAGGCTTGATTTCCTCATCAGTAAAAATGGGAACCATGGGTAGCACCTCTCTCTTAGGTTTATGCACAATTTGAGGTGATAATATCAGTAAAATGCTTAACATGGCACCTGCAAAAAGTATCCATTTTTTAACTTAAGTATGTTAAGTATCATTAATTTTTTAATAAATACACTGCAGCGATTTCTTCTCTATATATTACTAGTACTCACTATTTCTTTTAAGTAATCTAAACAAAATTATGGTGATTTATGCTGAAGGTATCATTCACAAAGTGTTTAATCAAATACTTTAATTTTTTTGAGCCGTTTGTGGTATTTGCAATACCGTGTTTTTATTTTGATCATTTGCTGCAAGTGAGTAACATTTTGACCATTTCTCTCTGTGTCTGCTGTAATTCACAGTTTTGTGACCTTGTCCAGTAGAAGGCTATTTCTTACAACTGCTCAAGCTTTGACATACAAGATGAAGCAAGATGCCACAAGAAATGCAGCCTACACTGTGGATTGTGAAGATTATGTGCATGTAGTAGAATTTAATCCCTTTGACAGCGGGGATTCTGGAAACCTAATTGCATATGGTGGCAATAATTACGTGGTCATTGGGATATGTACTTTTCAGGTTAGTGTATGAAAAATGCAGTGAATGACAGGGTATTTCACTGGAAAGAAATCTTATGCAAACTTTGGTAAACTTTTGCTAAACTTTGAAAGTATACTGAACCTGAATTTTTTTTTTAAATGATGTGAAAAGCTAGAGAGACCTACCCAGCAATTTATGTCTGGGATTTGTGGAAAAATTAAATGGTGAAAAAGGAAAATATAAGGCTTCCCTTTTGCTTTATGATTAGAAATGGAATATGTTCATAATCAAAGATTATGATTTAATCCTTTTGACAGTGGGGATTCTGGAAACCTAATTGCTTGCATATGGTGGCATTAATTACGTGGTCATTGGGACGTGTACTTTTCAGGTTAGTGTAATAATTTTAGGAGTGTATAAATGTAACTACTCCTTAACTATTAAGGAGTTGAAATTACATTCAGCCCTTTGAAGGAAACCTCGAGGCTGATGTGGCCCCCGGTGAAAATGAGTTTGACACCCCTGCTCTAGAGTATACAACGTATGGGATCATATTAGTTGAACAGTCAGTTTAGCATATAATTAATAGGGTTTTCTGAGACTTTAATGAGTTAGTACACATAAAGTTCCTGGAAGGCATCTAGCACATTTAATACTTAACATGTTTTAGCTGTCATTGATTTGGTCAATGGTGACATTCAGGCACAGCCCCTTATTTAATCACTAAATTTAAAAGTGCTTTGTGGTGAGCACACACCATGTTTTCTCACAAGAAAGCTAGTTCTACATGAAAGAGAGACTTTGAACAATGAGGATTCAACTATCAGGAATCTCTAGTTAATCTTTTGTTTACTGGACTATTATTCAAAGAACGGTATTTCTCAAATTAACGTTAATCAGTCAAGTAATTTGACAGTGATTAATTTTCAGAGGTTTAAAATAGCTTTGTTATATACACATCATAAATAGTATTTGCTTTTTTTACTCAGGAGGCAGGTTAGTATCTTACAGTGTTTTGACTTCATTCATGTAATTTAGCATGTTACAGTGCAATAAATGTATAAATTTATAAAAAATTATACTGCATGCATATTTATCCTAAGGGGAGAAAGTATGAATTAAAGGCTCCAGTTTGTTAGTTTCTGAACAGAATATAAGAACTCTTAAATTATTCTATATTTTCTTTTAGGGTTGGTGTAGGAATTTGTAGCTTTTAGGCTAACTGTGACCCTCAGGCTGGCTTCAGCTGGACCACCAGGTTAGAGTCATAAAAAGTCACATGATTAAGAGAAATCATATAACATAGCCTTGGCAAAGACTGAGGTAAAACCGTTTTTCTAATGCAGACTACTAATTGACAAGAGAATAAATCAGCCCCCTACAGTTGAAACTAACTTTTTACCTTATTTTAAAATTAATACATAGAATAGTACTCAAAAATACTGAAAAAAGATTACCTTTATTTCCAGTGTTATGTTCAGCTAGAACTACTGAGGGAGAAAAAAGAGGAAAGAAGGAAAGGCAGAGGGGATGGATAGTGGAGTGAGAAATGGAGCAAAAGAGGGAAAATGATAAAATGAGAAAAGAAACAGCAAAAACATTTGTATTGGTCTGTTACAGTGTGTGATCATATGCATTGTCCCTGTTTAGCCTCAGACCTGTGAGTTTGGCAATGTAGGTCTTTCCCCCAAATTACCTAAGGAAAGAATTGGATTTTTATTAATTTGGCAAGTAGTGAACACAAATTATACTTTGTGCCAAGTACTGGAAATATGGGTAAACAAATTTTCTGCCCTCAGAGAGCCTCCAGTCCATGCCAGAGAAGTTCAGGGACGTGTATGCCTAGTAAATGTAAGGACCAGCTGTAGACCTCACTTCTGAACCCCTGGGTTTCTTTCCCTGCGCTGCAGTTTAGACAGGTTGAAGCCGTGGTTCAGGCAGTTGCGCAGAATTGCATTCCGATAATTTGCCTTTGGGAATGCAGAATAAATTATTGCTTCCCTTTGAAGTTATTTTTTTTTCATTATATTAAACACTGTTTAAGCCTTGTTCTTAATCTTTCACATTAGAACCTTCAAGGTCTGTAACACCCAATTTCATGCCTCCTTGTCTTGAGAGAAAAGTAAGTAAAGGCAAATTGAATTGAAAGATTTCCAAATCCCTGTCAGAAAGGCAATCCGCAGTCTAAGGCTGGTAGAAAAACACTGTCAATTTAGTGAATTTGAACTTACACAAAGCATTTTTCAGACTCATATTGTTCTTTTGAAAAAGATGGAAATTTAACCCGGATATTAATAGTGTTGATTGGTGTCATGTATTTGTCAAATACTCATGAAGTGCATATCTGGTGCAGGAACTGATGATACATACGTTAAAAAAAAACAAGGATCCTACCCTCAAGGGGATGTTCAAATGTAAGCCAATGCAATAAGAAAACTTCTATAAAAGTTCTGTGTGTAGAGGGGAGATGGAGCAATGAAAGTTTCCAAGTCTAGCCAAAGGGTCATCAGTAAAGAATTAAGGCCTCTGCTGTGACTTGGATGAGAATGCTTGACTTAGGCAAGCACATTCATTTTATACAGAACACGAAGCTGAGGATACCTCATGTTTTGGATGGCAGACTTCATTTAACAAATACTTTCTGTGCACATATTATATGTCAGACTCTGCTCAGATTCCAAATATTGTATAATAAATTGAATTAATGGGTCAAGTTGAACAAGCTAAAATTTAATAAAGATGAATATGAAGTCTTAAAATATTGTGACTTCCGGCTTTTAATCACCTGGATGTTCGCCATGAATCCGAGCAATGATCAGACTGCCAAAAGCAGCTAATTCAGTGCTGTCCAATAGAAATATAATGTGAGCCACGAATATAAATTTAAATGTTGTAGTAACCACATTATGAAAAGTGAAAAGCAGATGAAATTATTTTTTTACCTAACATATCCAAAACATTTTATGTATAACCAATGTAAAAATTATTAATGAGAAATTTTTTATCCTTTCATATTAAGTCTTTGGAACGTGTGAATTTTGCACTTTATAAAGTATACACGTCTCAGCTTGAACGAGCCATATATCCAGTACTTAAAAGCCCCATGTGGCTAGTAGCTACCATATTGGATGGCACAGCTCTACATTCTCTGTTAATTGACAGTGATGTTTAATGTTTACTTCAGTTCTCAGCAGTGTATTCTGATTCAGAGGAGATAATGTACTTGAAGACATTTCAGAGTGGTACTGAAATGCTCAAAACTGTCACATAAAAGCCGGATTAGGCTCAGAATGGTAAATGTATTTTGTGTTGTCAATTCTGCTTGAATGAAGTCATTGATATGGTCCTTTCAGACTGATGCCAAAGCTCCTTATTCGAGTCTGTGCCCCTGAAGGGGAATTAGCTATAGCTATGACCAGGTATTTGCCATCACTGAATTAGACTTACTACTCTGTTTCCTGAGAGCAGAATTTGGAGTCATGAGTAGAATTTACATGAAAAAAGAATTTGGTTTAATATTAAAGAGAACTCTTCTAATAATTAGATCTACCTCAAATTTAATAAGCTCCCCCAAATAGTAGCTAGTTCCTTCTCACTGAAACTGTTCAGAGAAGGGTTGTGCAAGCTCTCTTTTCAGATGTACTAGAGATTCAAGCATTCAAGGAAAGAAGTGGACTAGGTAATCTCAGTCTCCTCTAACTAAAATTCTGTATTTGGCCTCTAGTGGGTGTGGTGGAAAGGCCTGCCCATTTCAAATCCTTAGAATAGCCCTTTCATCAGCCTGGCTTTGCCCCGACCTCAAATATGCTGGAGCCTCGTATAATCATTGGTATTATATCAAGTTCTCCAAAGTTTCTTAATTTCCTGCCTATACAATACTGCCTACACCGAAAATAGCATTTGTCTCTGCCCATACCACACACACTCCGTGGCCTTTTAGTTGGCTCAATGGCAGGCATTGCTGCCAGGAAAAAAAGGTTTCACTGGTCATACATAAAGCTCAGGCTGTACCATTGCCGGGATCTCTTAACCCTCACGACCACCCAATAACTCCATATATACTTTGGATAACAAATTTCAGGACCTAATCATCAACACTATTAACTGTAGCAAAATACTCTGTGTTTTGATGGTAAAAACTTCATTTTTAGAAGATTGATTTGTCAATTGTAGAAAAATAGAGGTAACCCAAACTATGAAGTCAGCTGTGATTAGGCTTCTAAACTTTTTTAAAGATTGCTTAGTGGTTGCTGCCTTGGCATACCTGGCTGTTACCCATATGGTTATACATGCAAATTATGAAGTAATAAAATTTGACAGTGTTTTTCTTTCCTTGATAAATACTTTTTTTCCTTTTTTAACTTATGGAAAGACTTTTTACTGTTAACTCTAAATGCACCTGAAATTTAAATTTATTTTCAACAGGTTTCTGAATTATGTAGAGAAAGATATTTGTGAAATGACTTTGTTGAGATCACAAAGGCTGTCCTGGAAAAATCAGCACATCCACTAGGATTCAATTAAAGTACACGCTATAAAACTTAGCATTTAGATTCAAGATGAATGGAATTCTTAGAACAAGCCTTCAGATAACATCATTTCATATAGACACATGTATTCCATTGAATATAAGTTTTACCTGCTCTACATTTTTCCCTGATATTTATAATCCTATAAACTTTCATAAAAGGTAACTATAGTCATTTAATACAGAAGATTCCTTGGGCAATTTTGTCATGAAAAATTTTGCTTTAGCCTCTAGACCCAGTTAGGGTATTGATTTAAATAACAAAACCATGGTTTATTTATTTTAAAAATCACAATATTTTAGGTTTATAAAGTGTATTTTAAAATACATGTTATCAATATAAGGTATAAAGAATAATAAAAAAATAGGTCCCTGTAGAACTGTGCACCTGAAACCCAGGTATTTTCAAATCTGTCTTCTAGCAACTGTAAGCATTGATTTTTTTTTCCCTATTATAAAAGTTTTGCTTAGTTCTTTTTAAAATTTGCTTGGTCATTTTTGATAATCTCTTCATGATAACTCATACTTTTGATTAACTCTTCTGTTTCCTTAAATATATCTTTGTATCTACTTTAATCTAATGTCTTTGCAGGTTTGAGTCTTCTCTTTGTGTTTGTGTAGGAGTGCATGCATGGATTGACCTGTATCTATGGGAACTTTCCGAGACCTGGGTAGGGTTAGTTCACCCAAGGAGAATATGCCTTTGTCGAATGCTTAGGACTACCACCCGACATACGGCCATTTTGAATTCAGTTGTCATTTTCTGGAGCACATAGTTAATGGGAATTCAAACCCCAAAGGGCCATCCAGTGGTTGGTATTTCTCACAAGTAACTTTTTCTATCATTTGGGCTTCACCACAATAGATATTTTACATGGCAGTTTTGGCTTTGGATTTTTTTCCCCTACTTCGCCATTGAAGGTCCCGGATCTATGCAGAGGTCTCTGAGCATCATCCAGTCCCTGGGCTTTGTCTTCTGTCCCCTGCAAACCGAAGCTGTTAGCTGTGGGATGTGGGCAGATGCCTCAGTGCTCAGCTGCTTCTCCGGTTTTGAATTTTCGCCTTTGCATTATTTTTGTAATGAGAAAGCTTTTCAGGTCATGTCCTAATTGCCAGCAACAGATTACTTGACATTTGAAAATTCTTTTTTTCCCCTCATCTTCCCATGAGGATAAGCTGACATCTTTTCAGTAATACTCAGACAGGTAAATAAACTCATTTCATTAAACATCTTACCCAGAATCAAATGTCCAATAGACTAAGTTAACACATTGTTATTTGCATATTCACTATTCATAAACTAATAGTATAATGAACAGTTTGTAACATCTTACACATGTATTGCCATGTATAATACTATATATAATACTATGTAAAAATTATTGATACTTATTATAATGGCTTTTCATCATAAGGTTTCAAAGTATTTGGTACATAATCAAAATTTTATGTTTGGTGTGCTGATACATATATGTTCATTTACTTAGAATATTCTGATTCATAAAGCATTCCATTTTCATTGTTTGCTGTGAAGTGTGTTTATTATTAGGTGTAAAATGTGTGCTAAGTAAGGTAAAATGTAACATGTTTGCTGTTTGTTTTTACTGTTTGCCTTCAAGAGTTATTTTGTGAAGCTTAGGCGGCTTTGGGCATTTTTGTTGTTGTTTGATGAACCAGTAAAATCTCATCCAGTCTGCTCTTGAACTTCTCAGAAGAATATACAGCAGGTCCTTGAATAATGTCTTTTTAGTTCAGTGTCGTTTTATTACAACATTGATGAGAAAAAAAATTGATTCTGTGTGTGGGCTGCACATTCTCCCCAAGTCTGTGTGAGTTCCCTCAGGGTATTCCAGTTTCCTCCCACATCCCAAAGCTGTGCATGTGCAGTGAACTGGAGTGTCTCCAGTGCTCAGTCTGAGTGCGTGTGGTGTGTGTTGAGTGTGCCCTGTGGCAGAAGGGTGTCCTGTCCAGGGTGGGTTCCTGCCATGTACCCTGTGTTGCTTGCTGGGAGAGATTTTAGCCACCCACAACCCTGAACTGGAATAAGCAGGTTTGAAAACCCTTATCTTACTTGTTTTTATTCATCTTTCTTATATGTAGGTATACCTCACATTTCAGTGTTTAATATTACAAGTTTTTCTGGTCTTTATTTAGAAGTTTGGTGATGTTTTTGTGACCAGAAATATGCCTTAGGAACTTAACTCTGGTTATATCAATGAGCCCCTGATAAAATCAGTTTCATTATCTTGCTTAAAGTTGCCATTTTCAAAGAGTTAACAAGTTTTCAAGAACCTCTCAGAGACATTAAGTGAGGATTTAACTGTCCATGGCCTCCTGGTAAATTCTTTATTATAATGCTATACAGAACACTATATTGTTTGTTCCCATAACTCACTATAACATACACTGTGTGTTCTTAGGAGGAAGAAGCAGACGTTGAAGGGCTTCAGTATAAAACACTACAAACAATTCACCATGGAGTCCGGGTCGATGGCATAGCTTGGAGCCCAGAGAGTAGACTTGATTCGTTGCCTCCGGTAATCAGGTAAGTTTAAAATTATTAAGTGAAGTATTTATTAACGTCATTTGCGTTAAGTGATCTGAAGCCTTTGATCCCTAAGGGCTTTTTTCCTCTATTTCCATTTTCTCCAAATCCAGGTTGTAGATATTTTAACATTTGCTGTATTATTTCATAATTTAGGCTTCTTGTCTGAATTTGTGGCTTAAATATGCAGCCATGGCAACGATGCCTTGAGCACATGTCTGGGCCTAACAACGAAGCTCTCAACCTGGGATTCACCGGAATATTTGGTCTTCACTGAGTTTACCACTTATTGAAAGTGTAACTCTGTTAAAAGAACTAAATTTGTTGGAGTCATCCATCAACCCTTCTGCCCTATGCATAGGCCAACATTACATTTTTATGTGTAACAGTACATAAAACTAATCTAATCTTTGGACTTCAGTTTTTGTAGAAGTATTTGAAACGAACTATTGCTTTTTGAGAAAAAGCATAGCACTGCCTGCTACAACCTTCACAAAGAGCATACTATGTCAGATTATTGAAGGTTTGTTACAAAACACTAACGCTGCTTGTTCGATTCCCAGTCAAGGCACATGCCTAGGTTATGGGTTTGGTCCCAGTCAGGGCATGTATGAGAGGCATCCAGTCAATGTTGCTCACCTGTATGTTTCTCTGCTTCTTTCTCCCTCCCTTCCACTCTCCCTAAAATCAATAAGCATGTCTTCAGGTGAGGATTAAAAAAAGAAAAAAAAAAAAACACTAACTTTGCTTCCATAAATGCCATATCTATAAAAGATGTCTTCTTTTAATAAACAGTATTTAGCCAACCACAAGTTAGCTGTTACTGAGCTGTCCTAATTTTTTTTTAAATTAAGGGATAATTTGCATGCAGTGAAATTCTCAACTCTTAGGGTACAGTTTCATCATTGTTAACAAATGCATACACTTGTATAACCCATTCACTGGTAATACTTGGCATTTCTGTCATCCCAGAAGAGTCTTATGCTCCTTCCCAATCTATTTCTCCACCCCATCCCCTGCCAAAGCAACCATTGATCCAGTTTCTATTAACAGAAATTAATTTTGCCTATTCTAGAACTTTATATAAATTGAATCATATAGAGTATATTTTTAATATCTAACTTAAAGTTTTTGAGATTTATCCATGGTGTGTATACCAGTGATTCATTTCTTTTTACTTTTGAGGAATATTCCATTACATTATCTACTTGCAGGATGTATCCTGCTATTTACATCCATTCTCCTACAAATGGTCATCGGGCAGTTTGCAGTTTTTTTAGCTACTAGGACTAACGCTGCTTTGAGCATCTCTGTATACAGCTTTTAGTGCATATATAGTTTCATTTCTCTTAGGAATAGAATCACTGAACCAGAGGTGTATGTGTATTTAACATTTTAAGAAAGTGCCAGTTTCCAAAATGGCTCTACCATTTTATATTCCCACCAATAGCTTAATGATGTTCAACTTGCTCTACCTACACTCCAGCATTTATTGTTGGCAATCTTTAATTTTAGCCGTGCTGGTTGGCACCACAATGACCTTTCCTGACGACCAGTGATGGTGAGCACCTTTTTATGTGCATTCTATTTCCTACCTAAGAAATCTTCACCTACAACGGGATTGGGAAGATGTTCCGTGATTTGTTCTAGAAGCTTTTACTACAGATGTTAGCTAACTGAGTTTTGATTAGTCTGTACGATAGCTCTTGTCAATGTACATATGTTATTGTTAATAGCCAGTGTGCTGTTCATTTCCTTTTACACTAAAAGGAAGTGTTCAGAGTCTTTGGAGCTGAAGCAGGGTCAGTCAGCAGTTTGCATTCCTAGCAGATTTTCAAAGCTATAGAAACTGTCCTCTTCCCATGGTTTTGCTTGGCACCTGTTTTCCTGTCTTCTTTTTAATGGATTTGCTGTAGAGTTTCATGTTTTTTGTTGTTGTAGCTTTTTGATTAGCTGCCTCAAATCCTTTTTGGAGCTGTACCAATATAAATTATAAGTTCAAAACATTAACCAGCCATTAATGTTAAAAACAGTGCTTTTAGAGCAAGCTGACAGCACAGTTTTGTTGTTTTCAAATAAATTCTATATTTTATTATTAAAAAATCACACTATATCAAGTTTAGGGTATACAGAAATTTTTTAGATGCCATCTACACACCTAATACCTTTCCATTATTTTCATAATTTTATATGATTTTTATTAAACTATATTTAAGTTTTTATACTTCTTATTTTACTTTACATTTTTTTAGTAGTATTTCATGGTAAATAGTATTTTTTCATGACTGAATAGTGGTTTACCAAGATGGCTTATGTATTATTTTGTACCTCTTTTACTATCATTAACTTTTATGTTACAGTTAGAAACTCTTCCTAATACTGAATATTTTATATTTTATCTTTAGAATTTAGTTACCTTAAATTCTGTTCTCTCCTCTCTCCCTCTCCCTTTTTTCTATACCCACTTGATGGAGAGTAAATTGTTCACCTTACTTCTGTTCTCTGAGGTTTTGTGGTTTAATTAAAGGACAACGTAAATGCTCTTAACATGCTTAGACTAAAGTAGCAAAGATTTAGAGAAGAGGGGCACAACACAAGGTTGGCCATAAAGTTTTATGATTCATTTTCTATAATCCTAATGAAATTCTTCCATTAATTATTTTTTTAAGATTTTATTTATTTATTTTTTTAGAGAGGGAAGGGAGGGAGATAGAGAGAGAAAAACATCAATGTGTGGTTGCTGGGGGCCGTGGCCTGCAACCCAGGCATGTGCCCTGACTGGGAATCGAACCTGCGACACTTTGGTTTGCAGCCCACGCTCAATCCACTGAGCTATGCCAGCCAAGGCTACCATTAATTATTTTTAAGTAAAAATTTTTGACTCATATGTAATTCCTTTGTTCTCATGCCTTTATAAAGGTGGCCTCCTCTTCTAGTAATACGTTCTTTACAAACACTTTTGTTTGAAATTTTCTTTTTAAAACCTTCTAAAATAGCCTTTTTCCATTTTGTTTAAATTTTTATTATATTTTCCCATTACTATTTAATCCCGTTAGATCCCCTTCCCCCCATAATCACCACACTGCTGTCCATGTCAATGAGTCCTTTTACCTTTTTGCTCGGTCCTTCCACCCCACAACCTCCCCTCCACCCCAGCTGTCATTCTGTTCTCCCTCTATGTGTCTGTCTTTATTTTGCTTGTTTGTTCAGTTTGTTCATTAGATTCCACACGAGTAAAGTCATATGGTATTTGTCTTTCTCTGACTGGCTTATTTCACTTAGCATAATGTTCTTCAGGTCCATCTATACTGTCACAAAGGGTCAAATTTTCTTTTTTACAGCCACGTAGTATTCCACTGTGTAGATGTCCCATAGTTGTTCTATCCATTCATCTACTGATGGACACTTGGGCTACTCATATCTTGGCAATTGTAAATAATGCTGCAATGAACATAGGGGTTCTTATGTTCTTTCAAATTAGTGTTTTGGGTTCCTTTGGATATATTCCCAGAAGTGGGATTGCTGGGTCAAAAGGCAGATCCATTTTTAATTTTTTGAGCTATCTCCATACTGCTTTCCACAGTGGCTACGCCAGACTGCATGCCCACCAACAGTGCAAAAGAGTTCTTCTTTCTGCACATCCTCACCAGTGCCTTTATCATAGAGATGAGGTTCTTGAACAGATTTTTCAGTGATTTCCTTATGACATAACTATGAGGAAATCTGCATAATGCTGTAGCAGATTCGTTCTAGAGTTTCCTCTAAGTGGGGAGATAATAAATGCCCAAAACAATCATGAGACAAATTCAAAGGAGGACAATTAAGAAGAGTAAGTTTTGTTTTTTAGTTTTTCTTACCTTATGTTTGTACATATGAAATACAGCATACGTACCAAAAAGAGATTATATACAAGGGGGACAAAAGTAGGTTTACAGTTGTTTGTATGGAAAATATGAAAATAATTAATAAATAATAATGCAAGAATACACTGTGCTGCATCCCCACAACTTTAAATCTAGTTTTGCATCCCTCTGTGTACCTGGAGGCTCTCCGGGCGCCTCGCCCGGTCACTGAGAAGAGGTGTGGTCGCGGAGATCTACCAGCACACCCAGGACTGCTGATCAGGAGCTTTGCTTTTATTTAATTTAAATGTGGTTAAATAAATTTATTAGTTAAGGGAAAAATGGTTAACTTTAATGTAGTCAGAACTAAAGAAATTTAGATCTTTTTGGTAATTATTTACCTAAAACAATTAGAAATAAACTTTGTTTTTCAATATATAAATATAATTTTTATTCCTCCCTCAGCCATAATCTGACATACTGAGAATCTAAAAATTTTAGGATTCAAGGCAAACTAGTTAACAAATAGTTATTGCTCAGATTTTTTTAAGTATAGTATACATTGACAAACTGCTAAAAATATCTTCAAGTATAGGGTCAGTACAAATAATACTCCAGTTAATAGATAATAAATACACCCAGTTTTATAGGTATAAAAATATTATCTTTTTTATCTAATTTATGTAAAGGAGTAGAAAACAAGTATAAGAGGCTTATGGATAACTGAAGACGGCAAAGACTAAGGTCAATGCGTATTGGTATTTTTAATATCTAATATTGACCTAACTAAAATAAAGATACTTTCTAAGTCACAGCTTTTTAAACTTTAAAGTAAAAGTTAAAAGTTAAATTCATATGGTAATTTATAATAAAACTGTACAGTTGCTACTGAAGAGGCAGAATATACTAATTTTTGTGTGTTTTTTTTTAATTTTTAAGTACCTTCTATTTTCAGTAGTTGCTGTATAACACTTTTTACAACAGAGTCGCAACATACCCTGTGTCCGAAAGAAAGCGTGATTATGAGTTATGAGATAGCTTTGGTGACTGGAGGAGGGTTTGGAAGGGACAGGGTGGAGAACTTCTGTTTACAGAGGCTAAAAGTGGGTTTGTTTTTGTTTCTTTGCTTCCAGATTTTGTACTTCAGCTGCTGATATGAAAATTAGATTGTTTACCTCAGATCTGAAAGATAAAACTGAATATAAGGTATGCCTGACAAATATAATTTTTAAATTTATAGCTTATCTTGAAACACTATTTCTTGCATTTAAAAATTGGGTTTATCCTAATTTAAGATGACTTTATTCTCACCTTTAAAGTATGTTATTTAGGGTGTCATTAACTGTATTTTAGACTATACTATCCAAGTTCTTAGTAAGGACTGGAGATTATAAATCTGATATCACTCATTAAATTAAAATATTAGGTTGGCACAGCAAATGACAGAGAATTAGGAAGTCACAGTTGACACAGTAGGAATGTAATAGATATGAACACACACAGAGGACAAGGCAGTCTTCAAGGAAGCAGATGATCAGCACGACACAGTGCAAGGCAGGAAGACAGACCAGTTAAGAGCACAGACACAGGAGTCAAAACACCTGGGTTCGAACCCAGCTCTACCACTTTAATAATAGTATGACTTTGGTCACCTTTCCAATCTCTTTGTGCTCATTTCCTTATCTGAAAAATGGTAAAATCATAGCACCTGCCTCAAAGAATTATGGACTTAACTGATCTGATTTGTATGAAACACTTAGAGCAGTGCTTTCTACACAATAAGCCCTATGTATGTGTTTTCTATTGGTAAAAGAAATAATTCTGTAAAATAACTTCGAAAGAGAAAGACAAATACAGTTGACCTTTGAACCATACAGGTTTGAATTGCATGGGTCCACTTATACATAAATATTTTTCAATAAATGCCTGTACTATTTTTGATCCACAGTCGGGAGTGCACTGATGTGGAGGGCCAGCTGTATGCATTTTGTTATCCGCAGGGGATCCTGGAACCAGTACCCAGCAGATACTGAGGGTAGTTAAGTTTGTGGGGAGTCAAAAGTTATACACAGATTTTTGACTGCACAGGGTCAGCACCTCCACATTGTTCAAGGGTCAGCTGTACTGTATGTGGAATTTTGAAAAGCTACAACTCATAGAAACAGAATAGAGTGGTGGTTATCAGGGGCTAGTGGACAGGAGAAACAGGGAGATTGGTCAAAGGATACATACTTCAACTCATAAAACGAATAAGTTCTGGGGACTAGTATGTAACATGGTGAGTGTAGTTAACAATGCTGCATCATATACTTGAAAGTTGCTAAGAGCGTAGATCTTACACATTCTCACCACAAAACAAAAGTGGTAATTAAGTGAGGTGATGGAGGAATTAACTAACTATGTAGTGATAACCATTTTGTAATATATGTGTATCAAATCATCTGTAGTTATATGTCAATTAAAGCTGGAAAAAAATTAAGTAAATAGCTCTCAGTTCAGGTTGAAATTACATTGTGTTTTTTGTAAGAACAGTATCGCCTTCTTGACTTTCTAGTAAATCAAAAGCATGAATAATGTTGAAAACAAAGGTAAACTATAAACCTTTTCAATCATTTAGAAAAGAGTAAAAAATTCCTCTAAGTTATATACAATAAACTATATACAGTTGTAAAGTGTACTGTATATATTAGTTAATGTAAGGCTGTACCAGTGATAGCCAAGTACAAATGTCATAAAATTTTGACCCATCAAAAGCTAATGGAATAGTGTTGATAGACATTAGATATTTAATATTAATTTAGTTTGCATTATAGACTGTGGTACAAGCTTTGAAGAATGATTTGGAGGATCTGAGTTTGTTAAAGTTACACAGGAATGTTTAAATCAAATTTTTTTTTCTCATGATATATTTCTAAATAGTAACAGTTCCAAATAGAAGCACTATTAATCTTAAAACTGAGATCAAATTTGAATCTTTGGAATGAACAGAGAAAGCAAGAACAATATTCATTAAATATCAAATATCTGATATTTGACAGGCCTCTTGAGGATTTCAATTATGAAGCCTTAAACTAATTATGTTTTGCCTGCTCACATGGTCCTCCCTCTTGCACCTTCCCCTTTGTTCTTTCTGTGGCCAGAAGTGGATTTGTGGGTTGTGGTTGTGGCCTTACAACACTAGCTATCTCCAGTACTGGCAGTCACATTGAACAAGTGAATGCGGACCTTAGAAGGTGAAGTTCATGCTATGTGTTTATTAGGCAGCAGCAAGTATGCAGAGCAGTAGGTATGAGGTAAATAGTTGAGGGAGACTCCATCTCAGTGCCCCTAGAAAGTTCTAGCTTTAATTTTTATTTAAGCTTTATGTAATAAGTGAAAAAGAAGGTGATATGAGGACAGGTACATTAAAAAAAAAAGTGTGTGTGTTTTTGTAAGAAATGCATACTAGAAAAGAAAGATCAAGCTAATAGCAGAGTGTTGAATAATCAGCTTCTTTCCAAGATAAACCTTCCAGAAAAGTGGGTGTATAAATCATGCTTTAAAAATAGCAGATTGCTTAAGAAATATTTATGGAAAAGAAAAGCATGCAGTGAAAGCTTTTAAGGCAGTGAAGTAAAAATATTAGGTACGAATATTGTAGTTTTTTTTCCTGTGTTCTTATTAATTTTTCCCCTTATGTCAGGTTTTAGAGGGCCATACAGATTTCATTAATGGTTTGGTGTTTGATCCCAAAGAAGGCCAAGGAATTGCAAGTGTGAGTGATGATCATACCTGCAGGTATGTTGCTTATGATATAAGCACATTTTTTAATTCTCACTTTCTTTTACTAAGAATTACATTTTAAAAATTAGAGAAAATGTAGATTCTATAAATATTCCACACACTGATACTTCATACAAATGGTATGACACAAATATGAGTTTCGAAATGGGTGAGTTAAGTTCTCTTCCCAGTTTTGGAAATTTCCTTCGCTGACTCATGGGTACCTCTCTGTCTCTTATTTTATACTTGCACATTTATGAAATTTAAATATATATTGGGTCAAATTCTTCAATATTGGGCAAGATCAGTAGGACAGTAAAAGGCAGTTGCCATATTCTGAAGTTATTTCACAGATCCTGTCTGGCACGTTAGTGTTTAATAAGGAATTGCAAATCTCATTTGCTAAAGCAAAACTCAGGGCAAACCTAGTGTTTTGACAGACTTGAAAGTCTCTATATAAGGTTTTCTGTATATAGAATACATTTTAGTATCACATTCTTCCACCCCACCCCCAATTTGCAACAGATGAGGTAGCTCTAACATTTTAATAGTGCCTAAAGCTGGAGAAGATCACAAGTGAAAAACAAGATGAAGAGCCAGAGCAGGAGGTGGAAATAAGCTGTGGAGTCAGGAGCGAGATGAGCGAATCAGTCATTACAGGAGTGCCAGTTGCTTCATTTGTTTTAACGGTACTGTGAGAAAAAGGGAAAAAAGAACACTGCTACGCTATTTTGCATAGCTTTAATGTTTAATAAGGCTGTACAAAATCATTTGTATTTACAAACTCTTGTACACATATAAAACTATTAAGTATGTGTCTTTTCACATTGGAAGTAAAGCCACTAGCTACTTTTTAAATTTTAACCTTTGTAATAGCTCATCTTTTTAAAGTTATAGAGTCATAGGCCATTATTCTTTATGTGCTGTCTGTTAAAATTTTCATGTCAGGGACATGAAAGATTTACATGACATTAAGATCCTAGGGCCCCAAGTATTACAAAACCAAGTTTATATATAGACCTAAAGAGTAAATGGGATGATCTTTATAAAAGTTAGGTTAGATCGCTAGAAATAAATAACGGCATTTTAGTTCTCTAAAACACGGACTTTCTTAATCACACGCATTTAGAATAATGAAACCTGAGAAGGGGGAAAATGAGGTCTCTGCGAGCCAAGGAGTAGCCTCTAAATGGTGAATGAGAGCCAGAGAGACCTGGAATTACATTTAGCGGTCTGTGATTATTTTTATTTTCTTGTAGTAGACTTGGGGATTTTTGTAGACCAGTAAAATTGTCCTAAAAATTTGGGGGACTGACAGAGGGTTTTCAACTTTTATTTCATTAAGTAATCAGAATTTTAAAATGTCTACTGCCTTTAATTATTACCATAATTTTGTAAGAGAAAGAACATTATTACTTTTAAAAGGACAAAAGGCTTAACTTCAAAATGAAATTAAGCTTAATAAATTTAACTTTTTGGAAAACTCACTATGTTGCCCCTAATTATCTTATTTTGCTAGAATGTGGTTGATAATGTTATTGTTCAACAAATAATTGCTTTCCCTCCTCCCCACTGCTACCATGGAAGAAGGAGATTTCCCTGCTCTGTTGGGCTTACCCATGTGACTTATTTAGGACAATGTAATATTAGCAGGCCTGACACACATAGACACTTTAAATGTTTTGCTTGTTTTATCTTGAACTACTGTCCTCTGTCTTTGCTATAAGTTGAGCATGTCCTAAATGGCTGCTGGCCCCAGCATGAGGAACATGTGAAGCAGATATGGTCCCTGGTATTATGAAATAAAGCTTCCCACAGACCCATGAGCAAAAAAGTCATGCTTATTTTTGTAAGCCATTAAGGTTTGGGGGTTTATAACACATCATTGTAGCAATAGCAGGGGAGCTAAATTTAGAATTCATCAGCTTAGTTTGCTAGTGAGAAGCAAAGGACAGTTCTGATTGGCTATTAAAGTCAAACTTCTTGGGCCAAAAGATAAGTAATATAGATAAGATTTTTAAAAGAAGCAGAAGATATAAGTAAGTCAGGAAGTCTAAAGAAAGGAAGAGAAGTAAATACACTCTCTCACAGTAACAAAGGAAAGAAGGAATTCTGAGGAACAGACTACAATAGAAAAATGTTTCAGTGCAGCCATCCTCATTAACTCAAAGTGTAGAATTGCCAAGTTACAGGTAAAAACAGCAGCTAAATGACAGCTGTGCAATTTGGGCAGAGGAAATAGCCACTTGTACCCCAGGAATCATTCCTATCACTGGGCTGAAGTAATGGCCCCTGTAGTCTCAGTCTGTATGTTGGTGGTGAAATCCTTGTCCAAGCATATAGTCAAAGCCTGTGTCATCTTGGAAGTAGTTTACATGCAAGTGATACCATGCATTAAAAAAGACATGCTTAACAGAATAACTAGACGGAAGGTCAGTAGGTAAGTAGAAGATTTGAACAACAGTATAAGCCCACTAGACCTAGCAGATATATAGAAAACATTCATTCCAGAATAAACCATCTGTTAGGCCTCAGAATAAATCTAAATACATTTTAAAAGATTGAAGTTGCAGAAAACATCTTCTTTGACCACGGTGGAATAAACTAGAAATCAGTAACTGAAGAAAACAGGAAAATAAAAAAAAATTAAACGTCACACTCTTAAGTAGCCAGTGGTCAAAGAAGAAACCACAAGGGAAATTATAAAATACTTTGAGATGATTTAAAATGAAAACACAATATGCAAAATACCAGATGCTACAAATCAATGCTCAAATCAATAATGTAGGAGTTTACACCTTAAGAAGCTAGAAAAAGAACAAAGGAAACCCAAACCTAGCAGAAAAAAAGGGAAAAATAACAATGAGAACAGAGAGAACAAAAATAGAGAATAGAAAACAAAGAGAATCAATGGTATTAAAAATTGGTTCTTTGAAAAGATATAACAAAATTGACAAACCTTTAGCTACACAGACAGAGAGAGGACACTCCAATTAGTAAAATCAGAAAAAGTGAGGACATTACTACCAACTTTACGGACATAAAAAGGCTAATAAGAAAATGCTATGGGCAGTTATATGCCAACAAATTAGATAACCTAGATGATATGGGCAAATTTCCGAAACAAAACTGCAAAACTCAAGAAAAAAATAGAAAATGTGAATAGACCTATAACAAATAAAGATTCTCTGTAACAGATGACCTAGGACAAGACACTTCACTGGTGAAGTCTATCAAACATTTAAAGAAGAATCATCACCTATCTCTTAAAAGCTTCCAGAAAAGGATAGAGGAGGGAATACTTTCTAACTGATTCTGTAAGGCTAGCATTACCTTGATACTAAGGACAGACGGAGACATCACAAGAAAAGAATATCACAGACCAATATCCCTTACAATTATAGATGCAAAAATCTTCAACAACATCTAGCTAGAAAACTCTTAGAAGAAAAGATAGGGGAAAAATCTTCCTAACCTTGAATTTAGCAATGGTTTCTTAGATATAACACTAAAAGCATATATAACAAAAACAACAACAACAAAAGATAAATTGAACTTCATCAAAATTTAAAACTTTTGGGCATAGCTCTATTAAAGGTCTCGTATCCAAAATATATAAACAGCTTTTATAATTCAATAATAAAACGACAATCCAGTTTGAAAAAATGGGCAAAGGACTTGAATATTGACAGTTCTACAAAGGAGATTTAAAAATGAAGCACATGAAAAGATGGTGACTGTCATTAGGGAAATGCAAATCAAAAGCACAATGAAATACCACTCTCCCACTCATGAGGATAGTTAAATAAATATATAAATAAATAAATGTCTTTTTTACAAAGCACAAAATGAGAAGTGTTGGCAATAACGTGAAGAAATTGGAACCCTCGCACTTGGCTGGTGGGATTGTAAAATGATGAAGCATCCGTGGTAAACAATTGGGCAGTTCCTCAAAAAGTTAAGCATGTGACCCAGCAATTCCACTGTTAGGTACAGCAATATACCCAAGAGAACTGAAACCAGGTATTCAAACAAAACCTTGTGAAGGAATGTTCCAAGCAGTACTACTCAACAGCAGCCAAAAGGTAGAAACAACCCAAATACCCATCAGTGAATAAATAGATAAACAAAATGTGGTATGTCATTGAAATATTATTCAGCTAGAAAAAGGATTGAGAGTACAGATACATATTACAACGCAGATAAAACTTAAAAACATGTTAATGAAAGAAGCTAAACATGAAATTTTCTGTGATTCCAGTTATATTAATAGGAAATCTGCAGAATAAGCAAATTCATAGAAACAAAACAGGTAGTGGTGCCAGGACCGGTGGGCAGGAGGGACCGCTAACTAGGTACAGTGTTTCCTTGGGGGTAATAAAGGTGTTCTGGAGCGACATAGTGGTGATGGCTGCATAGCATTGCGAATGGACTAAGTGCCCCTGAATTATACAGTTTAAAATGGTCTAAGTGGTAAGTAAGATAAATGAGTAAGGTAAATGAATAAAATATCTTAAATAGTAAGCTATATTATGTAAAATATTATAGCCTATGGAGGAACATTACATGATCACATATATGTAATACATGAACAGTCCTGCCATGTAGATTCTTGATATTTTGTACTATAAAGAGCAGAAGGAATATTTCTCCCTCCTGAATCAGTACCAATTTTTTAAAAATCATTGTTTTAAGTACAGTATTTTGATCTATACATATTTACTGATATCTGACTTTGGCATTTCCAAGAGAGACACAGTATTATAATCAGCTGGGAGATTTATGGCCTTAGAGACAGCATTTCAAAACAATCTGTCCCCTGAACAGGGTCATAAAGTTTATGTGTTTTATTGAAAATTGCCAAATTCTGAATCAAACAGAATGAAAATCGGTCTCATTTGCACTAGTATGTCACTCTATGCACTAAAAAGTTGTCACTTGTTTACCTTTCGTTATAGAGAACAAGTGAATGTATAGATGAGTTCATTCTGTCAAAATATCGAGTCCAGTCACTG